CATAAAATATGCAAATAGGGTGATTTGCATCTTAATTATGACATCATAACTGTTTGTTTTTGTGTATTTGATTTTAATCATGATGTATAAATCTGCGAAATAACTGTCTTTAAAATGGTCAGTAATGCTTTTAACTCTTTAATTAGTTTATTTTTTTAGTTGAGTTTATTAGTTTATTACATTCATACATGTATGGTCATAAAACATTGAATAAATGTAATGAAAGTGTCCAATTCACGCTGTTGCTATGGTAACAACAAGTAGCAAAACGATCCGCTGTAAACAAGAGAATTCTTTAGGAAATGTTACATTTTGACCATTTGACTGACATGTATTCTTTTTAAAATTTGGTGACAGAAAATAACCTAATAACTATCGAAAATTATTTAATTTGGATTGTGTAATATTATGATGTCATAAGGGAAATTGTTAATCAGGGGCGCAGCAAGCTCTCAGTCGGGGGGGGGGGGGGGTGGTTCGACGCAATCTTTTTTAAAGATTTTGTTTAATTTTACAAAAATTGATGCAACTTCCTTCAAAACTCAGCTAGAAGCTTCGAGTCAAATGCATTTTAAAACTTTACTTTTATCTAATGGTTCTATTTTTATTGGTTACAGGGGGTTTCACTCATTACACCCCCTGGCTATGCCTATGTTAGCTATGGTAACCAGGTGAATGTGCCGTCCTCATTTTTCACGACTTTTCCAAAGTTTTGCTTCTATCTTTGTCATCATGATAGCTCTGGTGTATATGAAATGTTCATCAAATGGAAGCTAAAGTTTGCTTTTCTTGCTGGGTTTCTTTACAGTGTTTGGTCCTTTCCCTTTGGCATTTGCACTTAGATATTCATACTTGTAAAGAAATGGAATGAGAATCAATCATAGTTTTCAGCTTTGACCTCATTTTATGGTGAATGTCAAAAGACAAGGTTCTGATTTGGAATCATTTTGAGCAATTCTACCTTATTTCAAGAAAATAATCACAAAAGCAGCTATGATACCATAACGAGTATGCCAGTCAGTTAATCTACATTATCCATGCATTTTCTGATTCACCTGGCATATTCACCTGGTTACCATAGCAACATCATATTGGATCAACATAACCCCCCTCCCATAAACAATAAGATAGAACCATTAGATAGAAGAAGAGCTTTAACCACTGGAATACGTTTGGGGCTTGGGGGCCACCGGGATGCTTTGAGGGGTCACAGGGGGCCACCAGGGTGCTTCTGGTGGCCATGAGGAGCCATTTGCATGCTTCTTGCGGCCTCAGGGGGCCACTAGGATAGTTTTGGGGGCCACTGGGGGCTAATAGGATGCTTTCAAGGGCTACTTAGATGATTTTAGGGGGCATTATGGGGCCCTTGGATGCGTTTTGGGCCTCTGGGTGTCACTAGTATGCTTTTTGGGGGCCACTAAAATGATTTTTGGGTCCACAGGGGCCCATTGGAGTGCTTTTAGAGGCCACCTGGGGCCACCGAGATACTTTTTGGGGTAACAGGGGGCCAATAGGATGCTTTCGAGGGCCACTAGGATGCTTTAAGGGGGCATAATGGGGCCACTTGGATGTTTTTTGGGCCACTGGGTGTCACTAGTATGCTTTTTGGGGGCTACTGGCGGGGGAAATGGGAAGCTTTTGGGGCCATTGGGGGCAACTAGAATACTTTTGAGGTCCACAGTGGGCTTTTAGAGGCCACTGAGATGCTTTTTGGGGCCACAGGGGTCAATAGGATGCTTTCGGGGGCTACTGGGATACTTTTAGGGGGCATAATGGAGCCACTTGGATGCTTTTTTGGGCCACTGGGTGTCACTAGTATGCTTTTTGGGGGTCACTGGGGGGCAACTGGGAAGCTTTTGGGGCCTCTAGAATGAGTTTGCGGCCATTGGAGTGCTTTTAAAGGCCACTTGGTGCCACTAAGATGCTTTTCGGGGCAACGTTTTGGGGCCACAGGGGGCCACTGGGTTGATGTCATGGGTCACAGAGGGGTACTAGGATACTTTTGAGGGCCTCATAGCAGCACTAATTTGTTTTTGGGGGCCACTGGGGACAACTAGGATGTTTTTGAGGACCACATGGGGCCACTATGATGCTTTTGGGGGGCATCTGGGGGCTATTGGGATGCTTTTGGGGGCATCTGGGGGCCACTAGGATGATTTTGGGAGTCATAGGAGCCGCAAGTATGCTTAGGGGGGCCACAGTGGCCACTAGAATGCTTTTGTGGACCACTTTTGGGGCACTGGGATGCTTTTCGGATCTTATGGGGCCACTGCCGTGCTTTTGAATGTCACTGTGGCCTATTTAGTATTGAATTATAACAAAGAGACTAAGTTTAAGTTAATGACAGTTTAAAATTACATGTTTGTTAAAGTTATAATATTTTAAATAGGTTTTACAACCACAAAATCATTACCTCTTAACCCAAAATGTTATCATGGGCACTTGTGTCTATATCCCGTATTTGGGATGCCTCTAGAACAAAAACTAATATTTTCTTAGTTATGCTAACCAGGTAAGAAAATCATAAAAATTATTTAAAAATACTAATGCATTCAATCTGTTGTCATTATTTGGTTAAAATGCTTATGACTTGAAGCTTCTAGCTCAATTTTGAAGGAAGTTGCATCAATTTTTGTAAAATTCATCTTAAACATTTTTAGGTTGCTTATGCCACGATCGCTCCCCCCCCCCCCCCCGACTGAAAGCTGGCTGCACCCCAGATTAATAATTGCCTTTATGACATAATAATATAACACAATCCAAATTAAATAATTTTCTATAGTTTTTAGATTATTTTGTCATCAAATTTTAAAAAGAAATGTAACATTTCCTAAAGAATTATTGTTTACAGCGGACAGTTTTGCTACATGATGTTACCATAGCAACAGTGTGAATTGAACATTTTTTATTTGAATTAGACATCTTTCATGTCATTTATTCAATTTTTCTATGACCATAAATGTATGAATGAAATAAACTTATAAACTCAACTAAAAGAAATAAACTAGTTGAAAGCATTACTGACCATTTTAAAGACAGTAATTTCACAGAATTATACATCATGATTAAGATAAAATATGCAAGGAAAAACAGTTATGACGTCATAATTAAGATGCGAATCACCCTATTTGCATATTTTATGAACTGTATGATTGCTTCATCCATTACCTTTTATTTGGTGCAAATTTCATCGAAATCTGAGCAATAATGACGAAGATATGGGCCAAACACCGAAAAGAGCTCCTAAAAGTGGGTGTGGCATAGTTACTTTGTTACCATAGTAACGCTGCCGCGGATTCAGAATTGCCAATTTAATATATTTTGAGTGCGTTATCTATTACCTTCCATTTGGTGTGAATTTCATCGAAATCTGAGCAATAATGAAGGAGATAAGGGCCAAACACTGAAAAGAACCCCTAAAAGTGGGCGTGGCTTATTCACTTGGTTACCATAGCAACGCCGTCGCGGATCCAGAATTGCCAACATCATTTTTCTTGGTAAGTATCATGTATAGTTCATAAAAATGTATGTCGCTTAGCTCGCCTCTAAAAAGGACACGGAACCTCTTATTTGGACTTTTGCTCCCAGACTACGTTGTGTCGTGATCGTTGATAAAAACTGTTCTAAGGATGATTTTCTGAGATGATACTAAAGAATAGTCTGAAAGTATGGAAAGTTCCACAGGGAAGATTCCAAAAAGGAGGCGAATAATAATTCCCCATAATTACCAAATAAATGAACCAATAATGAACTTAAATACATGTTTTCGTTAAAATGAAGTCCGAATGAAAAAAAATATCAATATAACTCTAAAAATTATGGATTAGGACCCCACCTTGGCGCTTTTTTTAAAATGTTAGGCTCATTTTCAAAAAAGAGGATCTTGTTTTTCTCAATTTAAACAAACCAAAAGTTTCTTCTACACTATAGATTTCTGAAAAGGGGCTGTGTAAAAAATTAAAAAACACATATCACATGTTATTTTCCTATAGGTACAACTCGTGCTATCCATTGTTTTCAGCATAATTTTGGTCATCAAAAATTGATATCTTCAAAACTAGACTTTCAATACCATTCTCCTTTGAAGAAGTTTTAGACCCCATGTTGAGTAATCTTCTCATGCAATAATAAAAACCAGAAAAAAAGAAGATCCTCCTTTTAGTAAATAGGTTCAACATTTTGAAAAATGGGGTCCACTGTATTTATGCCCAGAAAGTATTCATGGTTAAAGATTTGACTGTCTAGAATCACTTGCCTTACTGCACATAGAGCCTTGATAACTAGGTTATGACTGATTCATATTTCTCCTTGCAACCATTTTGAATTCAGTAAATCATCATTCCTCCAAGAGCAGAGTCCTATATCTGTATAAGGTGTTCGCTTATTAAACTCCTTGAACAGATATTCTCTGTTCTCAGACACAAGCTGTTGATGTTTGAAGTGAATCCAACAATGGGAATTTACTTATCAAAACTTTCATTTTTTATAAATACTCGTAGAACAGCTATTTTGAATTTATCTTCTTAACCTCTTGAATCCCAGGGCTCTTAAATCAGTTGAAACCAGAGAATTTTTCATTTTTGCCATCTTTTGATGTTTTAATACACACCTATACAACTTTATATGTTCAACTTAGTAAGATTAGATGGTGTAGATCATTTCTACATATTTTAAAACAATTTCTGTGTAAATTGGTTGAAAATTGTTCAAATAAAAGCAATTTTAGTGAAAAAATTTGTGACGGATTTTCTCGTCACTCTGGGTTTTAAGATCATTTCTGAGGTGACAAGAAATCTAGGTCACTCCAGGTAGTCAAGAGGTTAAACAAGGTCCTACTTCCATAAAGTATTAGCCTATAAAATTTGAGTCAAATCCAGCAACCTGTATTTGAGATATTGCCTGGACAGTCGAATGGACAGATGGACAGACACCTTGTCCATTTCCAACCAAACCCACCAAACAAATAAAAATAAAGAAAACAAAGGAAAAAGGTTACTCACTTTTACGTCCATGCATACCACACATTCTGTGAAGAACCTAGCTGTCACCTCCAACGCAACACTGTCAAGGCTTCCATTGGCCCCAAGAACTTGTGGTGCAGTTGGGGTTGCCTAAGAGAGAAAAAAATATATTAAAAATACATTTGATTGGCTACCTTAAAAACATATGCATGGTGTTAAATAAATGGTGGTATAATTCCACTATGAGCCAAAATTATTCTAAAATTGAAACATTTTTTGTTTAGTTTGCTCACTAGATCTGATTCCCTCTTTAAGAAGCCAAAGCAATGTTATTAACCATTAACTCAATGCGAAATTGTTAAAGTGGTGTAAAATTATAAATGTATTCAAAATAAAAATTCAGAATATGAGCAGCCTCATGGAAATAAATGTATAAACAATTTATCTGATTTTAATTGTAGAAAGTAAGTTGTAGATATGGTGGATTTACAAGGGACTTATGGTGCAAGACGTACTGATTAGACCTAATGTTGATTACTGGTAGTTCACTACACCTACTGAAAGTCCACTCTTAGCACTTTATTTCCGACTTTACATGCCCATTAAACTGTTTTCATGAGCTTCACTAATTTAATTGTTACCTGTATTTCTGCAGCTGGTTCTGTTCTTGTATCTGTAATATCTTTGCCAACATCTTTTCTCACTCCATTAACTTTCTTATCATAGTGCTCAACAGCTGCCATTATCTGATTTCTTACTCCCAGTTCATGAACTCCCATCTAAAAATTCAGCAATTATACACCAAAATAATTAAAGATTCTTGACTGATATACAGGATGTCTCAAAAAAGGAAACCAGAATTTAATTGCTTCCTTTTTTTGAAACACCCTATTCAACATCATATCATTTCCATTTATAGTGCACGTTTCTGTATTTAATTTATTTTTGTAACACTTAATGTATGCTACTTCTTTATAACATTGAGTGTATGTTATTGTCTTTAGTATACCTAATTGTATGTTGAAACATTTAGGGTACTTTATTGTATGTTATAACATGTAGTTCCCATTATTGTACACTATAATCATCAGTATCAGATGTCATGAAAGTAATTTCAGAACAATAAAATATTGATTTTTTCAAAAAAGGATACACATCTTTATCATGATTATACTTGGTTAGCACTTAAACAAATTCTAATTGATTAAGGAAAAAAGCTCATTTATCAATTTTGCTATTTTGGCCATATACAGTAACACTGCAAATCTCAGAATTTTAAAGGTATTGAGACCATTCTTGCTTTGTCAAACCTGCCAAAAAATTGAAAGGCATTTATATTTTATAACTGGGGAATAATAAAAATGGAATACAAAGGCAGAGGAAATTCCCAGAATCTGTAAATCATGCAAATACATATCATATTAAAAGAGCATGACACAAGTGCTCAAAAGCAAACACAGCCAACAATATTGGATTTATCATCCAAGATATAAAAATTGGTGCAACCTACACTTTTCAAGTCATTCTCTGTCATCTGAAGCAGCGTTTCTATGGTAATGCGGTGACGTGAAAACAATGGTATGTAATCATCAGCCTTTGCTTGGACTAGGATATCCACAACAGCAAGCTCTAGACTGCTTTCCTTTACATGCACAAATATCAAATCATATTAAGCAATGAAATCATAATCATTCCAAACAACATTAATTCAACAAAAAAAATCTGGGGGAATTTCTCAAAAAATATTGTGAATAACAATTCCTGAATTTCCAATGGTCTTTCTGAGGCAACATCTCAATAATGTTAATGAAACTAAAATCCACAATTCTTATTATTAGTTCACAATATCTTCCAATATTAAAATCAGTTGTATTGTCTTTATGATTAAACTATGATTTTTTGAGAAATAACCTCCTGGTATTCTAATGTTGTCCTAAATGGTCATCACATCTTTCCATTTTGCAAATTAATGCAATTCTAGAATGACCCAAATGGAGAAACTGTGTTAACCTCTTGAAGACATAGAATGGCAGAATATTTTGGCACATAAAATTAACAATGAGACGGGGGTCACAGACTCAATTGCTGTGACAATTCTAATCCAATCTGCACATATTAGGACTTGATATGGGAATAAAAGTTTGTGCTTAAGCCTTAAAACTGGCAGAAAATAAAAATGCTCTGGTTTCAAAGTCAGTCATTCAAGAGGTTAAAACTTGGGAGACAAAGTGGGAGATACTACTACTACTTCTACAAACACCTGCATACTATAGCCTAGTATTTTTATATCTATGACAGACTAGAAAAATATATTACTAAAACAATATTATCATGCAGTACAAGACATTTTTAACTCAGCATAGTATCAGATGTTGCCCCTAGCTCACATCTCTTCATATTTCTAATCAAAAATCCAATAATTTTTTATACAGTGTGCATTTTTTCTAAAATACACCTGCTAAAATTGAGAAACAATTTGTTTTATAAAATATTTTTCCACAAGTTTTGATATTTTATGTAACTCGATCAGAGAATAATGCAATTATGCCAATATAACAAAAATAGTCATTTTCTGACACAAAGTAGCAATGTCATTTTGGTACTTTTTCAAGACCATATTCATGTTCAGTGAAAGCTGTGATGTGGAACTCCTCATAGATAGGAAACTCCTGTAATGTATTTACTAAATATTTACAGTAAATCTTTAAAAGAACAATGTTCAGGAAAACATGGAAAGATATTTTGGTATAGTCAATATTGATCATCTAAAACTGTAGTGTTCATTTTCAATAGGCTTTTAAGATTTCACATATAGAAAGTGATATTCTACATCTTTAAATTGTTAATATTGACCATATCTAAACATTTTACCTATGTATGGTTATAGCTACCATATCAGGAGAAAAATGGTCTGACAAAGAACAGTGGAACACTTTCCAAGTCGAACACCTCTAGTTGTACCAAAACTTGAGGTGTCAGCCAACACAGATTTCACTGACTTTATGAAGCAACATTGTTATGTCAAAGTTAAAGTTTCAAAAATCTGTCAATATCATTTCCTGCCTTTCCAGAACCTTACCTCATCGAGAAGACTTTGCGGTTTCCTGTCCATAAGTCGCTGGTACTGAACCAGCCAATAGTCTTTCTGATCATTCAGCCTCTGTTGCTCCATCTCAGCCTAAATATTTCACAATGAACAAACATGAATAATGTCAAACAAAGCAGCTTTTTATTTTAACATTACAACCATATTTTACTGTATTAAGCATATATTATAATTAAGATAAGCATGGTGTTTAACATCCTCATTAATGTGGGCTCCAGTCATCAACATCACATCTGTGCTGTCTGGATGATTGTCTCATAAAGATTTAAGAGTTTTTATCACAAGAATACAATCATCTTAAGTGTTATTCATATTCATGTTTAACTTTGAAAATGTCAAGAATTTCCTAGGGCAATGTTGTTCAAGCAGTGATCTCGGCAGGACTTTCTCAACAGAGAAGTAAATTCTAATTACCTATTTTGGTTAAAATGTTCAACAGGGTGGGATAAATTTCAGACCCACTTGCTCCAATCCTGAAGAAACCACTGTTGATGTCAATTGTACATATAATGCCACTCATCATCCGGATTATAATGCATCAGAAAAGCCAAGCATTATTTTTGTAAATTGTACACATTATAATTTATAACACGGATATAAAAGCAAATAAAAAAACTCACCAATCTCTTATTGAGTTCCGCTTGCCTCTTGTCACGCTCTTCCAACAACTGTACCAGCAGACAAGCCAACTGAATTCTCTTCTCTGCTATAATGTTCTAAAATATATAATCATAAAGACATGTATAGAGTACAAATGCAAAATATTCATTGTTTCAAATTTTGGCCTTTACAAAAGAAATTCCTCAATTTTCAAATGATTATAACAATATAACAACCTAAATTTGAATGAAAAGATGCACTATAAGCAAGTGGATTTATTCACAATTTTTTGCACTATGTTCGCTTGAAATGTTTTCAGTAATTTTAACCCAATGAAATATTATGTTACAGTATTGGCAATGGAGAGAAGTCCATTTTCATATTCTACCCATTTCATGGTTAAAATTTAATCATTTCAGTTTGAATCTTATTAAAAGACCATGCAAATATAACAATACCTAATGTTAACATTACAATAACATAGTATCAACCATGTAATATATTTACTAAACATATAATATCTTAATGAGGACATCATATACATACTTTGAAAATCCTTAAAATTATTTACCATTTCGAAGTCCATCTTCATACGTCTTCTTTCTACCTCTACCAGAGAAAGCTGAGCTAACTCTTGCTCTATAAGGTCTATCTGTTCAGTGACACGCTTGTGTTTAGCATCTTTGCTCATTTGCAGGGCCTCAAACGCTGCTTTCTGGAGTTTTTCCTGAATAATAAGCAGGCAAATGTGGCAAAGAGTTTCCCAAGAATGTGTGTTTGAAACATATCTCCGAGTTCAATGATTGTTGTGGATATTTTAATGATTAAACTTGAAAGATGTACTTGTGCTATTTTCGTTGATATGCTACTGTTCTTGAAATGAGTCATCTTTGGTTTTTTACATGTACAACAGGGCTTGCATTAACGGCGTCCCGTACATGTTAAGGACTCAAAAATAATTTGGAGGACGCAAAAATTGAAAATATTTCCGTTTTTTGGACGCAAATTTTTTTTAGGTCAATACTACAATGTGTTTACAACGATACCTAACAAAAACAAATAATTATGATCTCTCACCTTTATTTGAATCGTAAATAAGGCTCAACATGTTGAATATTTACAAATAATCATGATTCTCTCGAATTTTTTCGACTTTGTTTATTTTTAGATTTGAAACCATGACACGCCACAGTTTTTCCTATTCAGAAACAAATATTAGGTTATTCATGAAATAAAATGTATTCATTGTCGAATGAACGAACATGCATTTATTCAGTCCGTACTTAACGTTTACTTCCGTTTTAAATTCGCGGCAAGAAATCAAAAACTGAAAGGTGTTTTGGTAAAAAATGCTTTTAAAATAAAGTTATACCTCAAAACAGGCTAGAAATAGGGGACACACTTTTTTTCAAAGGTCACACTTTTTAAAAAAAATTGCGTACTTGGGACTCACAAATTTTCTAACCTAATGCAAGTGCTGTACAATGTACATAGTGAATAAAATGGTCAAATTTCATTGTGTATTAAAATGTTAGCTAAATAGAGAGACCATCAAAGAGTTAGATAATGCATTGTGGGCCCCCTAATGTAGAACCAAACTGTTGAATAAAGTATTCTGCACTTTTGAGAAGGCCCATACCTGATCTTGTAGATATTCTACAAACTTATTCTGTTTGTGGCTAGTCTGGGATAAAGCCCTCTGTAATGAATAATTCTCAGCCGCAGTTAATCTACAAGTGAAGAACATTTGAAATAAGGCATTAACATGCAAAATATCACAGCCTACCATTTGTTACAGATGTCGGCCGCCAAACACTGTTACAAACACTTCTATTCAGAATTCCCATCTTAATACAGCAGTTTATATTATGAGCGAGTCAATATTTCATTTTGTGCTAACAAGTGTATCTAATAACAATAACATACTTTTGATTATAGACGATAGCTTCTTGTCGTTTTTTTGAGTCATAGTTCAGTCTAGCCTGCTCAATGTCTTTAGATTCTTGTAGGATTCTTTGCATAGCATCTATGTAAAAAAGAGAATTTTCAGATTAATGTTTCTGAGACATAGAATACAAGTATTATGTATGGTATTTTATTTATTGTCTTGAAAAATGCAAAACAAGTTTAGCAGTGTGAATATGTATGTAAAGTGCTAAAAGGGGAAAAGCCAAAGAATATCACTAAACAAAAGGGGAAAAGCCAAAGAATATCACTATACAAAAGAGGAAAAGCCAAAGAATATCACTAAACAAAAGGGGAAAAGCCAAAGAATATCACTATACAAAAGAGGAAAAGCCAAAGAATATCACTAAACAAAAGGGGAAAAGCCAAAGAATATCACTATACAAAAGAGGAAAAGCCAAAGAATATCACTAAACAAAAGGGGAAAAGCCAAAGAATATCACTATACAAAAGAGGAAAAGCCAAAGAATATCACTAAACACAGCAAGAAAAACAAGTTGAGCAAAACCTGGGGATATTGAACTTTTTTGGTGGAGAAAAAAACATTCAGTATTGGTGGATGTTCACTTCAGAGAAGATAATTTACATACAGAAGTCAATAGATGAGGTGCAAAGGAAGGGTATCTGCTAGAGACACGTGCTCACTAAGAGGTGTTCACTAAGGCAGGTTTTACCGTACACGCATAAATACTAGTAACCAGTGTAAAAATGATTGCAGATAGTGATGGGAATGTCTACATAGATGATCAGGTTGAACTAATTCAACTCACTCATTGATTATCCCTTTTATAACTACTGTCAAAACTAGCATGACAACTGTTATTTTGTTCCCCTAATTTCTTTTAAAATCATGACAATTACTAAGAGGTAAAATGGTACGACTGAAATCCATAACACACACACACATCTTTTGATAACTAGAGGGACAGTGATTCACATAAGTGAAGGTGCATATATAAACCAGCCTGTATATTACCTAATACATCCTGTTTTCGGAGGTTTTCTGATTCTTCTTGACGAACTCTGAACCATTCTTCCGACTCTATCCTTTCTTGTTCAATCCTTTCTAGGAATGACTCTGTTTTGCGAGCTTTCTCCGACATTTCCAGAAGTTCATTTGTCAAGTTTGTAACATCTCTCTCGACTGAAATCATAAAACAAGCAAAATCAGTAAAAATATTTTTCAGAGAATATTTATTTTCTCAAAATGCTGTGAAATAAAATTCATTTAAAGAGGCAATTTGAAGAAGATTTTTGCATGTTTTTTTAAAGAATTGATGATACTTGGAAAATTAAATAAACCATTTTGAAAATACTTTCATTCAAATCTGTGAGATATTACCAGTTAAAACAATAAGAAGAATCTACCTTCTTTCATATTCTGTATGAATAATTTATTTTCAATGTCCTTCTGCTGTCGAACTGACATCAGCTCCGAATCATACAGCTCTTGTTCTTTTGCCAATGCCTTCACCAGGTGGAGCTTATTGTTGGCGAATCCTGTTGCTATTTGTGCCTGGAGCTGTTGTTCTTCCTTCAGTTGTTGCTCAAGTTCAGCCATTTCTTTACGTTTCTGCTCCTAAATTTAAATAATCCAAATACTTTTTATGACAACGTACATTATTAATTCATGTATTCTAGATGCAAAGGATGGAAAAAGGCTAAACAAAAAACATTTGTAACATTCAATAATGCATGAGTAGCAATCTTTGATATATATTAATTTTAATTTTTTTTCTGAAATATAACAATATGTATTACATGTATTTTACTTACTATTAAGAAAAAAAAGTTTTTACATTGACTTTCAAAGCAGAATGATAAGATCAATATTTATATGATATCTATAAGTACATACCCGCCTGGTTTCATATTGCTGCATATGGGCCTAAAAATAAAAGCAATACTATAAGTTAATAAGTTATTGAATGATTTGAAGTGCAATACAGGATATATTCTGCTCAAGAAATTCTGTATTGCAACGAGACAAAGTCGAGTGCCAATACAGAATATCCAGAATATCGATCATACGGTAATATGCAATATGGTATTATCACATATCAAAAGTATTTAAGAATTCTTCACAATATTAAATTCAATTTCTTTCAAAGTTTGGCTCAATTTATAATTTCTTGGAAGATCAACAGAAATATTCAAAAAATAGAATTTGTTCCTATCAACCTCAGCATTACTTCTCAGGCATGCAGTACCAAAAAATAGTAAACCATATTTTATTAATAAAACACTAATATAGCAGACAGATTACCATCAGTTGTGCATCATTGTCTGCTAGAATTTTAGTTTTTGCATCTATGGTGTCTTGATGTGCTGAGATGGGTGGACCTAGCACAGCCACAGTGAAGTTAGACGGCTCTATGTATTCTATACCTCTCTCTAAAATATATATACAGCATATATTATACTGACTCTTTAATAGTCATATAGCAACGGAACTTGCGAGATAATTCGCTAAAATAATGTAGATAAAAACAGCCTGATGTAAAAATCGCATTGGCTATATTATCTGCAAATAAAAGTTCAAATTTTAGTTTATATTTTTTAAAATAGTAGAATATAATAGGGCGATAAGAACTGAGAATTACCCAACCGATGGAGTCGAAAAATTGATCTAACCAAACAGCATTCAACCCAAATATAGTATACAATATACAATATAATTGGTACCTGCCCCTCCCTTCCCTACTCCCATGTTGCAATAGCAATCATTTATGATTTAACATTGAAGTATGATGCTTCAGGATATGACAGCTAACACTTCAACTGCAATATACACAAAATTTCAGCTGAATTGAATAATATTTACGAAAAGTTAGAGCATATAGTGCATTACTTGGACAACCCTCGTATACTGAATGAACATTACCTTTACAAAGAAACCTCATGATGCTTTCAGTTCCTGCCTGGCATATATCACAATAGGGGTAGGTCATGTGATCTGCATTGACCAATAGGGTGTCTAATGTCCTGGCCTCACACAACTGTACAGGTAGAGTCGTAAGAGGGTTATCTTGCACGTCTAATGTTCGCAAACTTCGCATCTTACACATTGCATCTGGTAACTCCTTTATCTTATTGGCTGTAAGGAAACAATTATATTGTTACCACCTTGTCGGGCCTGTTCTAAGGGTTTTAGTGCTAGTTTAGAAGGCCTATATTTTACTATATCGACCTGAGCAATATGTGATGTCAAAGTGTCGGGCCATACTGCCGGTCAATAATGCATAAACGATGAGCAATTTTCACTGGGAAATTAGATATCGTTCAGTGCGTAAAATTTTCTTGCTACTTATGTAAAATTAGATATCGTTCAGTGCGTAAAATTTTCTTGCTACTTATGTATATCAGCCCTGGTCATTAATGGCGGTAATAATACTAATAACGTCATTTAGAAGGGCAATATACGGGTAGTGAAATATTGGACCTAGGGCCTTCGGCTATATTGCACTATATAATTGTACTATTAACCGCATAAATCAATTGCTTTGTCTGCTTGAAAAACAAGGCACACAATGATAAAATGTCACACTTTGAAGAGCAAAATGGTCACTATGTAATTTACCCAGCATGCCCACAACCTTACTGGATCTTGGTACTATTCTACTCTTGAATCTGTAAAAATTTCAAGTTGAACAGATAAGCAATTTTCCTTGAATTTTGATGATAAGATTTATGTGGCATTCATGAACCCACACGCTGAGCAGCACAATGACAAAAAGCCCCTTTTCAAAGTGCAATAAATAGTACCACGTTCCTTCACGGTGAACTGAATATTCAGCAAAGCGTATGGTATCTTTCAAAAATGTGATTTTTCACTGCAATGTAGCCACTTTCTGAAAAAACGATGGAACTAAAAATTCAGAAATGTGATATTGTTACTTACATCTTAAATTAAATGACTGTAAGGCCTGTAGTTCTTTTATTGTGTCTGGTAAGGTTGTAAGTTTGTTCTTCTCAAGGTTTAACACTTGCAAGGCTTTCATATTGCCTATTTCAACTGGAAGTTTTGTCAGCTGGTTACTGTGTAAGTCCAAAACCTAAAACATGAAAGGAGACCATTGATAAATAACATTTTTTTCAATCTAGACAACCTGAAAAGGGAACAAGGATAGCACATAAAAATTTTAACTTGGTCCAAGTAAGTTCCACTTTAATACCTAAAGAAAATATGACTTCTCTCTTTATAATATGTAACATTACCATGTGTAGTCGAGACATTGGTTCTGTTTAATATGAAGAGAATATCTGCGTTTCTTACCCTCACTGCACTGAGGTCTCTAAAGGACCCCCCACATTGTAGATTGCGTAATAAATTGGTGTGAAGAAGGAGAGCTTGCTTCTGTAGGACTTTACATAAGGCAAACACCCCACCTGGGACCTAAAATATAAAGCACAATATAAATGATCGTGAAATTACAAGACTTCCGTAGAGATCCAGAGAAGTTGATCTAGTAAGTTTAAATATAATTTAATCAATTTCAAACTCCTACAATTCTTTACTCCAATAATTCTGACTTTTCTTCAGGATAATCCTTTAATTTTTTATTTTTGTCTTTTCAAGAAATCAAAATTAGAGTTTTAATGGAAACAATGTCATGCTTTTTGAAAAATCAGTAGTTCAGACTGTTTATAATCTCTATCCCCTAACTTATATTCCCTTTGATGGTTAACTGTTTTTTTTTGTTTTCTGTTTTATGGTACTATTTGTATTAAGCAGGGTTCTTACCTCAGTTAATTCACAATTGGATATATCAAATGTGTCATCTGGGTTTTCTCTGGCCTGTAACAAAATGAATATTCAAAACGTGATAAGTAATCATTAGATGGATGCATATAGGCCATAAATAATACAGTAAAACCTGTCTAAGTGAACACCTCTCTCTAGAGGACACCTTTCCCCTGTTGAGTACTGACCTCTGTATAAATTACCATGTCTGTAGTCTGTAGTGAACACCTACCTACAGTGAACACATTTTGTGGCTCCATAGGTGTTCATTATACACAGGTTTTACTGTATGATTCTATATACAATGCAAAACAAAATCTACTCTGCTATAAGCCATGGGTGCATTATCTGTTCTTGCAGAGATTTTACAAATTACTAACATATTACAGCAAACACATTACCATACAGATTCAAAACAATACTTATTCTACTTGTTCTAAATATAGCACAATAGCAATGTAAAGGAATATAATATATGAACAAATGAATAGAATGTTAAGAACTTGGTTTGATATAAGCCACAAGTGGGAAACTGTGAGGTATATGCAATGTGTATATCCTTTATCAATATGTTATTGAATAAACAGATCATATCCCATGCTTATGGAGTAATGCCCTGCTCCAAACAAAATGTTAGTGATATTAGACAAGTTAGATATTAGTATGCAAGAATAGCCTCAAATTGTTGCGTATAAGAAAATGTTATTTAAGTAGGGTTGTCCCAGAGAACCTGATGATGGGTGATGGATGAAATTTTTCGTTTTGTCTAATTTTATGTTAAATTATATATAGTAGAAAGATATAAAATTTCCCAAAATATTTTATTCTGAGAACCTTTTTTGGCAAAGTTATGCCATCATTTAGAAATAGGGGTAAACTTCTTAATTTTACCCTGATTTCCAGGGATTTGGGCATTATTTTCACCCCAATCTTACAAACATACCCTATTTCACATGCTCTGTTTATATTTCAATTCATGTGCTTTTGCAAATTTCATCTTTTTTTATTATTTATAAAACCTTAAATATTAAGGAAACAAAAAAGGAATAATAATTTGACATATATCTTGTATTTTTTTCTCCACGTTAGTATGACATACATACCCCTACCTCATAAATTGGTGATTTTTGTCTATTTTTACAAAAATATGATATTTACACATTCTTTCATAAAATCTCAAGTGGAGCTATACATCATTTAGTTTATGGCTTGTGAGAATGGGTATATGGTGGGCTTCAAAAGAAGCAAAGAAAATAAGTGGAACTCTTGAGTGTTTTTCTGCCACAGATGAACAAAAATCGAGAAAAAATAGTAAAATTTACCAGAAATTATGGTAGAATGCCATTTATATATGAATATTAATAGGGAGATATGAGTATGCAAACTTGTATTTCTTTATTACATTTTCAAACTTATTGATGAACTTTCCAACTAATTCAATAAAATGATATAAAATCTTGAAGATATAAAAGTTCTCCAGCTATTAGGAATATCTGGCAACACTGCTGGTTGCCATAGCAACCAGCTAACTATAAACAGCGTTAACTAATTTTTTATTTTTCCTGAACAGTTTTCATACAAATCTTTTATAATGATCAATGTGGCTGAGATATGACTTACTGTACAATGTTAATGCACACATAAGTCTACTGATTGAATAGATAACCATAGCATTCAACCCTATCATCGGGCAAAATAGTAAATTTTACCAGAAACTATGGTAGAATGCCATTTAAATATGAATATTAATAAGGAGGTATTAGTATGCAGACTTGTATTTCTGTGTTATATTTTCAAACTTATTGATGAACTATCCAACTTATTCATAAAGTTATATATAAATGTTAAGGTATAAAAGTTCTTCAGCTAACAGGAATATCTGACAACACTCTTGGTTGCCATAGCAACCAGCGGACTATAAACAGCATTGGCTAATTGTTTACTTTTCTTAAACAGGAAAAATCATTTCTCATACAAATCCTTTATAAATATCAATGTGGATATGATTTACCAATACTGTACAATGTTAAAGCACACATATGTCTATTGATTGAATAAATAGCTATAGCAACTCAGTAGCATAGCAACTATATCATCAATTATCTAAGCTGTATTTTGGCATATTTCTACACTATTTGAAAATCACAATTTCCCCCTTATTAAATTTCCATTATTCTTTGAATCCTCAATCTGAATGTCAACTTACATGTAGATAACTCTAGACCCCCTTAAGCTTGTAAAATGTTGCCCTATGGCACAAACAGTATACAAATAGTGACTGCCATTGAGGGCAATAGTGTAAATTATTTCCCCGAGGGAATATCCTCTACAATGTACTATTCCCGAAGCCGCAGGCTGAGGGAATAGTACATTGTAGAGGATATTCCCAAGGGGAAATCATTTACACTATTGCTCGAAATTAGGCAGTCACTATTTGTTTTATTATATACCCTATACTGACTCTTGTCCCGTTTCCTCTGCGAAGGCCAAAAAGGCTTAGAAAGCCCCCTCCCCCGGCCCGGAACCATTGTTAGCATTATAAGCTGTGACGTCATCAGATGCTCAACAGAAATTTTTGCCTCTGAGACTCTCACTTGACAAATTCAATCGCGTTTAACACGCGGAATAGATTATCATAACACTTGAAATTACACAGACGTATTGAGCTTAGGGAACTTTATACACGTTGCTTATATTGTATCGTTCACGCACGTCTGTCATGGTGAACGGAGTTGATTTGTGTTTGTGCTCATCCTCCATTTTTCTGTTTTTCGTTTGCGCGTTTCCAAGGGTAATAGAAGTTGCAATTGTGACGTCAGCGGGCAATAGTTCAAATGTATATTCCCGCTGACGTCACATTTGAGGGAATATAACTTTCCGAGGGAAATAGTAAATCTATTTCGGAACACGTGACTAGGTATTGACCAATCAGGATTAGTGTTACATATTGGGTATATAATAATATACATTAATCATGCCAACCCAATGTCCTATTTCCAACAATTATTAACAGTATTTTTCGCGTGCGATTTAGTTTCGAGTTTTTTGCGATTGTGGTAAAGGACGATTCTCGGTTTGGAGAACGAAGTTCATCAATCTAAATGAGCATTATCCCTGCTTCGGACAAATTTGATTTTTTTACATAATATAGATTTGAATGTCTTCTTTTGAATAGTCATAATTTAATTTGGGTAATATTTCTAGATTTTTCGCAAAAAAATATTAGCGCAGTAAACTGATGAACTTCTTTCCCCAAATCGAGACTTGTATTTTATTGAATCGGTCTATTTGAGCATTATCCCTGCTTCAAACCAATTTGTTATTTTTACATCTTGTAGATTTAATTGTCCTCTTTTGAATATTCATAGTTTAATTTGGGTAATATTTCTATATTTTTCATGAAAAAATTTTTAGTCCAGGAGGCTGTTCTCCAAACCGAGAATCGTCCTTTGTAAAAATTAATCTTCTGAAATTGTCAATTAAATCCCAGGGGATTTGTGAAATTTCTTGTTTCCTGGGACTCCATTGCATTCCATGTTTTGTAAAATGTTTGTCAAGTGTTTTAGGTGATAATGGAATACTAAATAACAATGTCTATTACATTGGCTTATTAGATCAAATAAACCCAAAATTCACGATGTAATAGAGGTTAAGGTGCAGCATGTTGTGGACCAAGATGACAAAGCTTTAGGTGTACTTAGTGAAAATCACGAAATTTAATAGTCGCAAAATCATGTTTTCTCAAAATTCGCGAAATTAAAACTCACGAAATAAACCGGAAGTACAGTATTCGTTAAATATCAGTAATTTCAATTTTTTCAGCATTTCTAAACAATCACATCCAGAAAAATGCTGACCCCATCAGATACCAACCTACACTTTGACATTTGTGCTGCACAGCCTATGTATAGTCTGTCACGTGACTTTATGGATGATAGGTGCGCGAATAGATCGCCAGCCTTTCCACTTCAGGTTTGTCATGATACTTTAAACATATTTTTAGACTTTGTATCTCTTTGAAACTTGCCCGCACCATCAATGTTTAAAGAAGATTTAATTCACCAAATATCTTATTCAGACGTGTCCTGGATAAAGAGAAATTGACACTTTTGAGTCTCAGAAAATGATATTTGGGCTAGTGAAGCGATTTTCACGAAGAATGGTTGGGCGATCTCTTTAACTAGGACTCGCATGAATATGATACTTGGTGAATTAAACCATCTTTGGACATTGATCGTACGGGACAAGTTTCACAAAGATACAAAGTCTACAAATAGGTAAAAAGTATCATAACAAACCTGAAGTGGAATGGCTGACAATCCATTCGCCATCCTCCATAAAGACACGTGACAGACTACATACAGAGTGTGCAACAACAACAGCAACAACAATAACATGCTCCCAAGGCTCAAGTCTGAGGGAAATTGTTTTAAAATTGTGTCTCAAGGGCTTCCAGAGCTATTCTCTCAATAACGGCATTCAAGTTGCTTTCATCTTGACATTTGGTCTTCAAGAGACTTAGTCTGGAAAAATATGATTTGATTTGAGATGTTGACAAATATTCACCCAGGTCTTTACAGTAGAAGGCTCGTGTTTGATGCCAGCTAAACATTCATTAAAATTTTCTAAAAGGAATGATTTGACCTCTTCACTGAATCTTGGTCTGGGTGACTTTTTCCTCAGACTTGAGAGCATGTTATTGTTGTTGTTGTTACAGCACACAAGTCAGAGTGTATGTTGGTATCTGACGGGGTTGTGATTGCATTGCAATGTTCTACCCAAAGTCTTTTTGCACTGTATATTAAGGTTTCCTTCTCTAACTGGTATATATGCTTCCCCAACATAACATGTTCCTCCAGAGCCTTGTGATTTGTAACTGATTTTGTGCATCCTGGTTCTTTACAATAGATTAATCACTTAGCATGCACAATATCTGGAAGTGGATCACTTGGCTGCTTTGCCTGGCTTCTATCAGTTTCTGGTGATTTAAAGTCACGTAGGATGTTTATCTTTGGCGTTTGAGTTGATTCACTTATGTCTTTCACTCCTCCTCTGCCAATGTTATAACTCTGCCACAATTTAACAAAACATTTTGAACCATGCCTTACATCCTGACACACCCTTGCCTGAGTCGATGGCACTTTCATATCATCAATTGACACTACGTTTTTGCCTGATGACACATATCCCTTGATTTTTCTTCGTAAGTGGGCAATTTTGGTATCACAGCAGGACTTTCCCGCCTGAGCTTAACTGAAGTCCCAAGAATCAATGGTGATTCCTGTAAAATAAGAATAGTTATAAATATACAGTTTGGCTACATGCATAGAAATGTAGCTTGGAATTTGCTCTCAAAAAAATCACAAGCTGCAGATCCTTAAAACCAAGTCTTAACAATATGTCACCACATATAGTAAGTGGTGACAAAATAACTCAAAGTAACTTACAGGAAGAATGGTCGCAGATTTTGAATGCTGTTATTAAGTTTTCAAGACAGTGCCAAACTTACGTATAACATGTGTGCACTTATCCTTAATTTAGTGCTACTTATTTTGGCAGATTTGTTGTTTTGAACATTTTGCGGCTACTTGACTTGGCTGACTTGCAATGCAATGCACTAATGGTACTTATTTACATGATAATAAAATTACTGGGGAATTAGGTGCTGCCAAATTAAGTAGAAGTACAGTTATAGAATTGTCCAATGAAAATCACACAAATCAACTTGACTAAAAATTGATAAGTCCTAATAATTCATAGCTTAAAAATATCTACCATAGCTTAGCAATATGCCAGGAAAGCAAGCAAAATCTTGGTACCTGTTCTAAGTGATATTCCTGGCAGAACCAACCACAGCTGTCCTGAATGGTAGCATCCAGCATTATCACTATGTCCAAAAATTGGCCTGATGAATGGTAGATCTATGGACACTGTTTGAAGAACATGCTCAATGAGAGCACTGACCACCGCACAATCTTGCTTGTCATCTAGCAGATGAGCATATGTTCAGAGCTGAAAATATACATGTAACATACCAGTGTTATCATTATTCTAAACTAGAAATCAGCAACTACATACTATCAAGTCCCAACAAACATGATATTCATGAATCTGTAGATTTAAGTTTCAAAACATAGCGCAGAACTAAGAGATCTATCCAGATGAATTAAAACGTGTGAAACAGTTGTAAAGATACAATAGAAAAGATAAAAACCTGACAGAAGTGTGCCAAAATACAGTGTGAATACATAGTGATAATTTAAAATACCTTAGATGAGCCCATGCAGGTTTCATGCACAAAGAGATCTGTACTGTATCACTACCACATTGACCTGGCATACTTGCAAACTCACATGCCATTGTAGACTCCAATGGAAATATATCAATACAAACGCATGTATTTCTTCTGGATGAACAGTAGCCCTATAAATAATAATACAAAATATGTATAAACATTACATCTTAAGCAAATGTGAGTACACTAGATTTTCACACAATGTCATCTCACTTTCATATTGCCATGGGAATAAGCTTTTCAAAATAACAGACATGAGCATTTATTTTGAGGTGAACTATCAATAGTTTAGGTCAGAAAATATCTTCAGAGTTCAGCAGAGAAACACAATCCATATAGTAAATGGGACGGTATATCAATATCTCAAGAAACGACACATTTCAGAAAAATGATAAGTTTACGATGCATGGAGTACTTGTGCACTTGAAATATAAAAATTTAGCCAATGTGATCTCAAAAACAGCATAGCTTGACCATTTTTCCAGTGATCAGATGATTTGGGGATGATTTCTGTTTTTCACCTAGCTTTCAAGGGGTGATTTTATTTTTGTCCTGATCTTTTGCACATGATTGACATTTGTATATTTTAGATTATTTAGTGTTAAGTGCAATAAGCCTGTGCCCTCTTTCATTCGTTGAGGTCTATTGGCGAGATCTATGTTATTTTTTCAGAATCAACATGGGAAGCATCAAAATATAAGAGGTTTCATACTTTATAACCAATTCACAAGCAATCCAAGATATACAAATGTCATTCATGTGCAATATGAATCTATTTTTCTCTATATTATTGCACAATCTTTAGCTTTCTTATTTTTCAGGTTCAACTGCTTGCCTTTGAAGGGCTTTGTATAAAAAACCTCCTACCTTTTTTGCAATTTTGAATAAAGTAAACCACTGAATATTCTAGTTATTCAAACATTCTGAAGAATTATCAACCCTCAATTAATAGCCTAGGTACACTGATGCATCCTTTGTGCAAGAATGAAAGATGTAGATTATGTGTGGAATGAGTTATGTTTATCTGAAAATGGCACTACATGTATGGTCATGAAATGTCATCAAAGTGCACCCTAAGACTGCACTTATATTTAGTAGGGAACAAGGAACATTTTCAAAAGTCCATCATCAATCAAAGTTTCAATGAAACAATTATACAAAAATTGTCTGATAATGAAGAACAATAATCTGATTGTGAGAGGGAAACAAAACTAAATGTGGAAATGAGAATAAAAAATGGAAAGCAGATGATAGAAATTATCTCAATCTATTATGTCAATTTCAGCATCGTTTTGTTTGGGAAGTCTTTAAATGTAGCTTTATTATTGTTCTTTAAATATCAGATGTATGGAATAATCATTTAATTTATCACATAACAACATACATATTGTTTAAATTACCTGTAAATAGAGACAATTTGAATCATCAAAATTGTTTCAGGATTCCAAGGACCTCTGCTGGATTACGCAAAATGCTGCATTTTGATTGGTCAATCCACGTCTTGTAAACAAACCAAAGACCTTTCACTCAAGCATCTTTGACATCAGTTTGCATCAGTAAATAGTTGATAGTTCAACAATTATTTGACATCACAGCTATTATGAGATGCAAAAGTAACACTTGCAATGTATTTTTACAATAAAACCTTCCTTGCACCATATCAAGTAGCTTCATAAGTGTCTGACAATTTCTTGTATTTTCTGCAAAAACTATACTGAGGTACCCATGTTTAGAAGTATCAAGTGCACCCAAGGACATAATATGCCACCTATTTTATTTGATATTTTATAGAACCATATCTCCATTATTTAGTTTCAAATGTTTATGACCTAATTTGAGGTCTACTTGGGACCCAGGACAGTTCAAACAAACCTCACTTTTAGGCCTGTTAGGAAGTCTATTAAATTGATCATGTTGCCATGGCAACCATTACTATTAGATACAATGATTGCAAATATTTAAATGTCGAAATGATACTTCTTCATCTTAATTATTTCAAATAGTAAGCTGATCTGATCAAATATCTTCAGAGTGTAGAGGAATATCAAAGGCAATGATGTATGGAAAACCTAAAAAATAACTGCAGAATGAGCTCTTCAGGTGAAGTGCCACGCCCACTTTGGGGCAACATTTTAATGTCCCCTAACTTTTTTATTGGCAATGCACTGGAGTTCCTGTTTCTCAGGTGTAATACATAATCAACCAACAACAAACTGTGGAAGTTTGAAGGAAAACAAAAAAATTGATATATCACAGATTTCAAGAATCATCAGGTTCTCTGGGACAACTCTACTTAAAGATAAGTCAGGCAGCATTTAAAGTAAGTGACATTTTGCCAAGTGTCCAAGCAAAATCTTTTGAAGCAAGATGAACCACCACTCCCTGTTAACAATGCTCAAATAACTAGAATTTTTTAAGTAGGTCCTCAATATCTATTTTATATCCCAGCAAATACATAAAAAATAGTATAATACTGGTATAAAATTGCATGCATGTGCATTAGCTAATAGCTTATTGCTGGGATATCATAATATTACTAAGGGCCTTCAGCAAAAAATTCCACACCCTATATCTTCTGTAATGAAATATGCAAAGCTTAAAAACGAAGAAATGATAAAGGCCAAATAGATTAAAAGCTGTTAAAAGTGACTCAATCTCTAAATAACTTCTAACACAAATTACAAATTAGCGATCTGTAACTTCTAATATTGATCGTGGACTTAAACTATGGTGTAAATCTTCTTTTCTGAAAATATCTTGCAAGCAAGCAATAGGAAAAGTGTCATCATATAATCTTTTAATTTGTAGGACATTACTTTTGGCTACATTTTCATACTTGCAGAAAAGAAAGTTTGAACCAAGAACAATCAAAGTGCAAGTTTAAAATTGTTCCGATTTAAAAATAAATGTTTAGGAATATTTAGGATCAGAGTCAGAGATGAAGCCCCTTTAAATAAAACTAACCATATGTAAAAGATGTTCCAATTTTCGTTTAGAATTTTCGCTGACATTTGTGACACTTTCAGTCACTGGCCCCCAATCTGATGTATTGGTATGCCCTTGACCTTGTTTCTTTTTACTGTTCTTGCCTCCCATTCTCCCAGCTATTATTATGTTCCCTGCTATAAAATCTTCCCTGCTACCATGCTAATATTCAAGACAGGAGCAACCTAGTGGACTTGGGAATTCTAAAAACAAACAAATCAACAATATGCATAAACAGAAGTGTAAACATGTCTAGAAATAGGCGAGGCAAATTTAAATTGGTGAGGCAATATTTGAATTTGGTGAGGCAGTATTTAAATTGGTGAGGCAAACTTATTCCAAAAAGGAATATTTGCTGAGAGAATTGCCTCAACTCTGAACTGCCTGCTAGCAACGCTGGTGTATTTACAAAATCTGAGCAATTGCATGCTGTCACAGAACAAGAAATGCAATCCAGACTAATATGCATTCAATTTGAATTACATGGCAGAGAATGACATTGCCTTTAAAGATAACACCGCATGTCTACTATGATATTTATGATCTTAATAACCTCTCATAGACCTTACATTCACTCGCCTTTTTGGGAGTTCATTGCAAATGTGAAATGATGTATGTTTTGGCAGCTTGACTGACTGTCAGTTACGAGTAGATCAATTTAAAGTGCAGACAAAATTGACCTCTTATGACAGGTGGCCTTATAGATGACTTAAGTTATGATTTACAAAGAAAACTGAGAACTAAATGAGTTCTACATAGAAACTAATAATTGACAAAACAACACAGAAATAACATCACAATAAATACAGACAGGCTTGATTACTAGAAGGTTTATTCATATTACTGTCGCTGTAAAAGGTCGACATACACTTCTAATACTCAGAGCTTATTAAATATGTGACAGTTATATGAATGTGAAATACAAGGTTTAGTTGATATGGGATGCTATGTTCATAAAATATCTAACAGTCTATGTTATAAAAGTAAGTTCTTTCTACATTAGGGATTCTAGGAACATACTTACCCTAGAGATTAAAATTCTGACATTGATCAATATTACTGCGAGTAATACCAAAACTGGCAATGAGAGTGAACTATGAGAACTTGAAGCAGATTAACTACACAATCAATAATGAGGGATAGGCTGGTCAGACTTTCATAATTCATTGGCTCATTCATTTGAGTTGTGCTACAGGAGTCTTGTATCAAGTCTTTTGTTACCATTCCCATATATGTACACTGTTGCTCATAAATATGGAATATTAGATTTGGCAGCTCAGAATTCAAAGTTTGGAGTAAGAGAACATTTATTTGGAGTTGGTTCAGACATTTATTTTCGAGGCAAATCATAACCACATATTTTATCCACAAATCAACATTTTTTAGAGAAAAAATATCCACATTTAAGTCAAGAAAATTACTGTTATTTAAACAGGGGTACGCTAAGAATTTTTGCATTTTTAAACACCCCGATCCAAATCGTCATGTAAAACATATCAAACAAAATAAACATCTGGTCATGAAGATTGAAGTGTCCTCTATCCAATGATAGCAATAATATGCGGTATGTCCTCTTTGTGTTGCAATCAGAGCATCAACCCTACGGGACCAGCATAGAATGAAACATATGACCTTTCTAAGTGAAATAAGGCCCAATTCCTCAATCTGGGCAGTGCGTGACATGTCTAAATGTTGAGATGGGGGTCCAAGTCACGAATCTCATTACAAAGGTCGTCCCACATTTGCTCTGCATTAGCCTCATTGGCTGATTTTTGTGCCCATAGTAGCTGGTCCACATTGCCTGCCCTGATGTAATCCAACACGATGCCACTAGCATATGCATCAGCATAATCATTCTGCAGTTGAATGTTGCCCCAAAACACTCTGTTTGCATGTGGTACTTGATGGAGGTCCAAAAGGTCAAATTACCCTGAAATTATGTTTGGGAATCACCAAGGGGGTGCAACTTCTGTAGTACTGCTACAAACAACCTCTGTAATACTGCTCCAAACATAAATAGGGTCGCCTTCATGAACTGCCACATCAGTAAATGTCCTTATTGTCTCTTTCCCCTGGTCTACGACAGAAACAAACACAATTATCAACTTTTTGTGGAGGACACATCTTATTTTTTCACATGCTGTCATATGACGTCAAAGATTAGGTCCAATGTTTTGGTGCTTTCCTGCCCATTGAAGGCACCTTTCTTTGTTATGATCAGTCAGCTGTGGTCTCTTTAAAGGTCTCGTGACCTTGCATCCGTTATAAAGAAATCACTGGTTGTCTATAGCTCTGGAACACAGGTTTTGAGGTGGGGCAGCCATTCACCTCGTAGACTACTGGTTGACTAATAAGCGATTTTGATGATATAAATGCAGTAGGTGATGGTCTTTTCTTACATTTTTCTTTCTAGGGCCACTATTGCTGTGACCTGGAGTCAGATTCCAGTGCTTTTGGTACCACTGCAAAATTTTAGAGACTGTTCCTGACACACCCCTAGGGTCCTGGCAATGGCAGCTTGTTCCATGCCAGAGAGCGCCATCCCTATGACCTGCCATGCTCTTTTTCGCTTATTTTATGGGGAATGCCTTCTAAAAACTCTTCCAACTCTAAATTAAAATGTTATAAAATGTGCACAATGATTACAACTAAGATTTGGACACCTCTTTCAAGTTACCAATATCATGAGGTCATGGGGTCACCTGAGTGAATAGAAGTTTAATTGTTTTAAGTTTAATATAGTTTATTTTTGTGTCACAAGCATGTTAAAATACATTTAAAACATTTTAAAAACATTTGCTTCCAGCCGATGCCGGCTTATGAGACACCATATGGTACATGTATACAAAATATTCATTTTTCAACAAAATATTCAATTTTCAATGTAAACTTACTAAATGCAAAATAAACAGTCATAGAGACCATGTATACAAAGTTCATTGTTCCTTTACTTATACTGAAAGGAGACATCTTCCCCAAGGTTGATGTTCCTGTAGATAAGTGGAAAAAGAAACCATGATCAATTGGTGATGTGAGGGCCCTCTGGTTGGTCCAATACCCCCAAAGGGGTCCCCACAATGTAGTAGATTTACAGAGTTGCTATTATGTTATACATTATTATGGAAATATGTATGCATCATTTATACATTATGACAGTATCACAATTCTAAATAGTGAGTAAAAGGTGCTGTAAAGTGGCAAAATCGATTTTATATGGCCTCCATCCAGTCATACTATATAAATATATAACTGACCATTGACAGATAACATTTCTGTGCTTATAACAAAATAGAATATGAGACAATTCATTAGTTTGCTATTCTTGAGTAATTACAAATATAGGTTCTGTTAAAGTCTTTCTAGATCAAAGTTCCTTTTACTGAACATCTTAAACAGTGTACTTGCAAAGGTTCTCTGTATACAGGGTGTGTGCATAAGTCTAGAGAACAGCATAATATGATCATTTGTACCAGTATCAATGTTAGGGGCCAGTGTATTAACAGAAGCTAGAAAATTATTTCTCAAATCATTGTAGTGAGAGCACCTGAGAGTGAAGTGTATCTCATCCTCAATCTCATTAGTGTCACATAAAGCACATTTTCGTTCCTCTAGGGGTGTATTGGTATAACGGCCTGTTTCAATGTTCAGTTTTAATGCTCCAGTTCTTAGTTTTGCAAGGATACTTCTATGATGGCGAGGCATAAACATTTCAATGTACGCTTCGGTTGATGCACCATATTTAAATTGACGATATGTTCTAAGTTTGTTGCCATTTGTTTCATTATTTTTATCGTTCCAGATATTTCGAAGAAAAGGATCAATAGTTTGGAGGTGATATTTAATAGCTTTAATACATGGTTTTATCTCAATGTACTGATTGTTCAGAAGTATACCACAAGATTCAATGAAATGTTTTGTGCGGAAATTCCAGCTTGATTTTCTCCGTAGTGACCATATATGTATCCGGTTATTTAGTCTGGTATTTTCCATATTGTGGAGTCGCAAATATAGTCGGGCACACTCCAACTTTTGCTTGTGGATAGGAGGGCTCCATCCCATGTCACCTCTCGCTCCTTCATTGCTTGTCTTTTGGCCTACTCCTAGGAATATTTTTGTTGCTTTATTTTGTACATTATTGATACAGCGATGCTCATTTAGACCAATGATTGAGGTACCATAATTTATGATTGGCTGAACTATTGTATCATATAGCTTTGTATAAACTGCATAGTCCATTCCGCCTGCAGCTTTGAATTTACATGTTAACACTGCCAGGGCACGACTAGCTGACTTTGCTATTTCTTTTGCTGTGATCTTAGCATCAACATGTTCACTTAGCCAGACACCAAGGTATTTGTATGAGTTTGCATAATCAAGTGTTTTTGGGCCACATTTGAATACATGAGTTGATCGGGGCCTGGCAGCAGGGCGGTAATGGACAATTTTAGATTTTTTCTTGCTGACTGTGAGTCTCCATTTCCGACACCATATATAGAGGGCATTCAGCATACGTTGTAGGTCCTCTGCCGTCCCAGAGATGAGGGCTATATCATCTGCATAGAGTAAAATGCTAACCAGTTCATCTCCGACTTGAACGCCACATCTCAGTTGTTTGATGATGTTCGAGATCTCGTCAACGTAGATCGAAAATAATGTCGGACTCAACAAACAGCCCTGCTTCGAGCCATTGCTGACAGAAAACCATGGAGTTAAATGTCCATTTAGTCGGATCGAACATGTCACATCTTGATAGAGGGACCTAATCGCATCGAAGATTTTACCTTTAACACCAATTCTGTTTAGCTTAAACCATAGGCAGTTTCTATCTAATTTGTCAAACGCTTTAACTGCGTCCACATAGCAAACAAAAGTGTCGAGTTTAGATACTTTGCGATTGTTGATGATACTATGTAGACTTTGAACATGGTCGAGGCATCCTCTTTTTGGTCGGAAGCCATTTTGTTCATCACTGAGTTTACCATTGGTTTCCAAAAAAGTTACAAGTCTTTTATTCAAAATATCACAGTAGATTTTACATGGTACAGAGATCAACCATGAATGTTTTAACTATTCATACCAATCAGTTCTATATGCAAAACTGATGAGGGAATGAGAACACATTACAAATTTTCATCAAAATGTTATCATTTTGTAGAAATTCCATCGAACAGTTCGTATCTATAAAATATTCCATATTTATGAGCAACAGTGTATTTCAACTGAGTTTGAAAGAAATTAAGGAACACATACAAGGGCTCAATGCAGGACTATTGAATATGGAAAAATTAAAATGTTTATTTAATGCATCAGTTTTTTGTTTTCTCTATACTTCCTGCATACATATTCTATCTGCTTGTGTAAGAGTACTAAGAGGCTAATACTGTAAAAATGAAGCCAAAGACACTTGTCTGATTTCTCTCCGCTGATCTACATATACTCGTTTTATATGGGAGGGGAGGGGTATACAAGAATATAAAGGCCTGATGTCAAATTGTATCTATAGAGAGTAAAGGTATAACAGCTGCACTTGAATACAGTACACATAAAATACTTATCTTACCAGATATAACTTATATTCCAGTCTCCTCTGAGCTTCATCGCTACGTTTAGACATAACAATGTTGTTTGTTGATGGTCTGATTGCTTGAGTGTTTCTTCAGTGATGATCTGGTTGTTTGAGTGTTTGTTTGTTGATCTCCTGATTGTTTTTTGATAGTCTCTTGCTTGAGCTTCTTCAGAGTTCCTCTGTCTGCATAGATCTATAAAAAAAATATGAATAATTGCAAATGCACAAAGAAATACTTCAATTTCATTCCATTTTTCATGGATATCAATATAATATCTTATTAAAGTCCACATGAACATATAACAGGTACCATCCAGGAAGTTGTTGTAATACAATTGGGTAGGTTTATCTACTAGACTGGATAAGATCATCCATTTCAATATTGTAAAGGTCACGCTGAATTACATTATGTTGTATCTCAATTGTAACTAAATTACAAATCCTGTCTACTCCTAGTGACTCTTAATATTCTTGATGATTTTATTAGTTTGATAATTATCTTTCTAAATCTTCTACAGATCTTTCTTCTCTTCTGAAGTTTTTTCTTCTGTAGATATAAAAATAACTTGTACATGTAATGTTTGCCAATATTGCTGCTTCTAATAGGCACAAAAATATCAAGGCATTAAACTGCATTAAAATATGTATTACTAATTAAAAATATATTTAAAGGCACTGTGTAAAGTTTGAAAAATATAGTTTAGGCATTCAAATATCATGACTACTATTTAAGTCATATTTTGAAAAATGTGACTTGAAAAAATATATGAATTTCCCGCCATTTTAAATTTAAGTTTAAATTTTTAGATTATCAAATATGAAAATGTGCAAAACATTTTTGAAAAATTGTCAATATTTTTTACAAATATACTTCCTACATGCATACAGTGTACAGTGTATTAAATTGCAAATGTCCGCAAAACATTATAAAAAATAATCTTTATCATTCAAGTGGTCTTATATTTGGACATTTGGTATGGCTTTGGGCATTATTTTGGTTGGTAAACATGGTATGGGAACACATTTAAATTTGGCAGATAGGTACAGGGAACATATTGATATCTGAGGGTTCAGCCCCCCCCCCCCCCCTCCGCTACAGATGTGCCAATTTAGCCTACTTTTACATACTCACATTACTTAAAGTGTTCTTGTACAGAATTAGAGATAAATAATATTTAGATTTTGCATGGAAGTATTATAGTTGTGAACACGTTTAGGTTGAATTCTTAGAAATTAGCAGAAAAGTTTTGTATGACCTCATAATTTATTTCACTTCCAGCTTTATTCATCACTTTAAGGTCAGACTGCACTTTGATGAAATTTCATGACCATGTGCTATTTTCGGATAAACATAACTCGTTCCACAAATGGTCTACATCTTTCATTTTTGCACAAAAGGTGTATTAGTGTACCTAGATTATAGGGATGTCATGGTTTCCCGATATCATCCCGTCCCTCTGGACTTTGGTCTCGGGAAGGGACAACCCTCATGTACCGAAGATTTCAGTCTATGTTCAGGATACACTATTTCTCCTGTATATGACCCTAAAACTTCCCAAATGCATGATACGAGTAAATATGATCTAAACTAGAATTTTCTTTCATTTTTAAAACTTATCTGCCGGATTACGTTCAAGCGTAAATGCCCTCTAGTGGCAATTACTATAAGTGATTATAATAAACGAAAATTCAGGACGGAACATGCATCGATAAAAGTGTTTCCCATTGAAATATGCTTTAATTTAACCTCTTGAATCCCAGGCTCAGTTGAAAACAGAGAATTTTTCATTTTTGCCACCTTTAGACATTTTACTACATAGTACATACCTTGTACCTATACAACTTTAGATGCTCAACTTAGTAAAATTAGATGGAAGAGATCATTTCTACACATTTTAAAACAATTTTTTCGTAAATTGGATGAAAATTGTTCAAATAAGAGCAATTTTAGTGAACAATTTTGTGCCATATTTTTTTGACTCAAGACTTCCTGATTAATCCTCATACAAGTTTTGTGACTACACCAAGTGGCATGGATAATCACTTATATTTTAACTAATTGCAGTATAATCATCATGATAGATACATGATAGAGGCTTTATGAATGATAAACAATGGATACATGAATGAGGATAACTCTGGACTAAAAAATAGTCCCAGCAAACAAAATGGTGGACATGAAATATTTAGAATTCACAATGGTTTGAGCTTTATCATACTCTAACAATGCAAGAAGTACACATTTTCATGCTCTTACGTTGTTCCTTGGTAAGATAAGATGATATGTGGAAATTTGGGATTGTTGCAAATGTGTGACTGTTGCAAGGCTACTCCTTGAAACTTTAAAAAAAGGCAAATACGTGAACAATATCGTACCTAAAACACAGCATTGTGGTCTTGTTGACCAAGAAAGCAAGATGGCCGCAGGAAAGTTAATCAGCTCTAGAACTTATCACTGTGTAACATATGTAAAAATTTGAACGGTTTGGCTGGAAACCTGTAGACAAGTCTTGAAAGTGAAGATTTTAGGACGGAAAATCCAAAATGGCCACCTTAAAATTTACCCAGAATGCCCAAAAATCAATCAGTTCTTGACGTTGATATGTAGAAACATCCCTGAAAATTTCAGATGAATCCCTCATATGGTTTGGCTGAAAATCTGTAGACAAGTCTTGAAAGTGAAGATTTTTGGACGAAAAATCCAAAATGGCCACCTTAAAATTTAACCAGAATGCCCAAAAACTAATCAGCTCTTGACGTTGATATGTATTAGAAACATCCCTGAAAATTTCAGATGAATCCCTCAAAAGGTTTGGCTTTGAAACCTGTAGACAAGTATTGAAAGTAAAGATTTTAGGACGGAAAATCCAAAATGGCCACCTTAAAATTTACCCAGAATGCCCAAAAACTAATAAGTTCTTGACGTTGATATGTAGAAACATCCCTGAAAATTTCAGATGAATCCCTCAAATGGTTTGGCTGAAAACCTGTAGACAAGTCTTGAAAGTGAAGATTTTAGGACGGAAAATCCAAAATGGCCACCTTAAAATTTACCCAGAATGCCCAAAAACTAATCAGTTCTTGATGTTGATATGTAGAAACATCCCTGAAAATTTCAGATGAATCCCTCAAATGGTTTGTTCTAGAAACCTGTAGACAAGTCTTGAAAGTGAAGATTTTAGGACGAAAAATCCAAAATGGCCACCTTAAGATTTACCCAGAATGCCTAAAAACTAATCAGTTCTTGACGTTGATATGTAGAAACATCCCTGAAAATTTCAGATGATCCCTTAAATGGTTTGGCTGGAAACCTGTAGACAAGTCTTGAAAGTGAAGATTTTAGGACGGAAAATCCAAAATGGCCACCTTAAGATTTACCCAGAATGCCCAAAAACTAATCAGTTCTTGACGTTGATATGTAGAAACATCCCTGAAAATTTCAGATGAATCCCTCAAATGGTTTGACTGGAAACCTGTAGACAAGCTGAAAAGTGAGACGCCGCCCGCCCGCCCGTCAAGCTGACTACAGTATCGTACCTTTTGTTAGGTACGATAAAAATAGCCTCACTTCACACTCTTCATGCTTGCTTTTGGGATCTATGCACCTCCAATTCATAGATATGAAAAATGCGTTTAAATGTGATGCTTTCTTTTATGTGTCTCTTAAGTTAGGAAATGCATTCACATACAAGGAAAACATTATATACAAAATCTTCTGACTTTATCAGAAAAATATGGCTGCCATGTTTTTGTACTTTTGATTAACTTTAATGTCACCTTAAAACAAAAAAATTCATATTCATGCAATGTTTATTTTAACCATTAAGTAACCATCTAAACATAAATTCAAGTGGTCATTGAAGAATGTCACTGTGAATCGAGAGTCCTTTGGGCTACAACTTGGGGATATGCGGGAATTTCGATGTATGGGGTTACTTTGTCATGGGACTTATAATCTCAGCCATGGGGCTATTTCCACAAGAACGAGATCTTATCCAAGATGGCCAACTCTGGAAATATGAATTCAGAGCTGTCAAGTATCCAGGGAATGGCGGGATTATCCTGCGAATTTGATCAAAATTTGGCTAATTCGCGTGTCCCGCAATGTCTTGCCAAATCCCGTAAATGTGGGCTTTGACCTCTGCGAATTTTCAAAATTGTAACAATCCCCGAGGCTAAATAATTGTTATTATCTTGTGATAAGAAGCTAAGTGTTTTGCGCTTTTGAGGAGTAAAGTTTACCTTATTTGAAAAGTGCTGCCAAACTCCCAGTGCATCAGATCATCGAAGACTGCTTTTGGAAAGAGCACATAGTCCATTTATAAAACTGTGATTGTGATCAAAATCACGGGGTACCATCGAATAATTTTGGCAACGTACCGGAGAACGACATTTTACTAAGAAATGGCAATAATTTAGCACAATATATTTTTAAACTAGAGTTCTACTTTGATTTTGACAAAAGTAAGTATTCCATGCAATGGCTATTTCATTCATGAGTTTGTAGGAATTCTGTTGGAACCCAGTTCTGATCAAGTACGAAGTTATTGAAATCGGCGCAGTCGGACTTTACTCCGAAAGATGGTTTTTCGATTATAGCTTTTTACAACATTTAAGTATAGACTTTTGAAAAAAGTACAGAATAGTCCTTATACTATTGAATAATTCTGTTATTTCTGATTCACACGACTCTGATTTGTTTAATTAAAAAAAAAGTTTTAAAAATATTACTTAGGAACGTAACCGGAGTTGGGAACGTAACCGGAGCAGATCAGTTGAATTATATAATTTAAAAAAATAAAATATATGATTTAAAGCATATATATTAATCAGAGCTTTCAGTAACGCGTCCTCTATATTAAGAGGACCCCGATTTTGATGAAGGGACTCCAAAAAAAAAAAAAGATCCATCCCTGGGACGCAAAGCTGTAAAGTTCGATTCCAGACGATCAAACCTCAAAAAACGAAAAATGTTACGAACTAACCTAGTTTAATAAATTATTTCTGTTTTATATCACTGAAAATCGAGGTCAGTTTTGATGCATTTCCAGTTTTATCACCGACTTACATTGTTTAAGTTTTCAAGGCCACTTCCGGGTTCTTCTCTCGTTGCATGAGATCACGTGATCAAACTGTATCATTATTGAATGGCAATATTCAACCAAGAATACCATTTATTATTGCTTAGTATATGATATGAAACGATAGTTCGATGCGAGGATGTCTGTATCTTACGTAGTCATTGCACTTTGATCAATTTTCAAAAATTTGAAATCTCGTTTGCGAGATCTATCATGGCGGCCCCCTGAGTGTCACGTTTTATTTTTAAATTTAATTTAAATTTCATTCAAAAGTCTACACACTCCGTTGAGATGCCTCCAAAAGTTCGACGCTACATAGGAGCTTGGGAAGCCGACTTTGACTGGCTATATTTGGTTGACGGTGGGATGAAATGTCGGGTTTGTGTCAGGAGTGGGAAGAGATGCATATTCACAATAGGGGGTTGTAAAGACTTTCAATATTCATCCCTTACCCGACATGCTGGTAGTAAAGTCCACCAGGACTCCCTTGCTTTGCGGCGCATGGGCCGGGCCTTGCAACGAGGTGCAAACAATGCTAATGCCATTGCAAACAATTCTCTCATTTATCAACTGAGAATAGTACAATTTCTAGCTCTGAAAATGCTTCCAATTTCACTCGTGAATGAGCAAATCAAGCTTGCCAATGACTGTGGGGCCCATATAGAAAACCCCTATACCTCCCCAGACAGCCACAACCAAATGTTGGAATGTTTGTCTGATATCTTAGATGAAGATGTTCTTGCAGCTGTACGCAGGCGTCCATATTTTGCGCTCATAGTGGACGAAAGCACTGGCGGATCTGGGGGGGGGGGCCCAGGGGCCCGGGCCCCCCCCCTTGGGTGGGCCCAGAAAAAAGAAATTGTGCCCAAAAAAAAATTTGAGCCAAAAAAGGCCCTAAGGCCCCAAAAAGTAGGCCTTTTTGGTCAAAAATTGGCCTTCTGAGGCCTTGTTTTTTAATTTTAGGCTAAATTTTGAAGAAAATGGGCCTCAAAATTTGGGCCCACTTTTGGGTTTTGGGGCCCAAAAATTTTTTTCGCGCAAGCGCGGAACTTTTTTTTTCACACAAGAACTTTGGGCCCCCCCCTTGTTGGTTCCCAGATCCGCCCCTGGAAAGTATCGACAAAGCAATCAACAAAAAGCTGATCCTCTATGTTAAATATTACACTGATGGTGAAATTGTCGTAAAATTTCTCACGGAGGTAGAGGTTCCTAATGGTACTGCATTGGTCATAACAACTGCCATCATGAATTACATGGGAAACAACAATTTAGATGCTCTCCATCTCATAGCACTTGGATCAGATGGAGCACCAGTGATGCTAGGTACATTAAAATCAAGGTTGGGGGAGGGGATTATTTTTGTTTTAAACACTTAATATTGTTCTTATTTTAGAGATGAATAGTAAATATATAGTTGGTATGATTTGCACTGTTTTGTGTTTTAGGAATAAGGAATGGTGTCGGGGTGCAGTTACGACAAGCAATCCCACAGCGGGGTCTCATACACATTCACTGCATGGCGCACAAACTTGCCCTGGTGGTTTCACATGCTGGCGAAGGGGTTCAGGCCATTACGTCTTTCAAAGACAACACTGTGACCATATTCAACTTCTTCAAAAATAGAGCTGGAAGATATGCTGAACTGCGGGAGCTGCACAATGTTATTGAAGGTGGCCAGTTTCTAACATTGAAACTGCCGTGTTACACAAGATGGTTATCTTTACACAGGGCTGTGACAGCCATCAACAATTGTTATCAGGCACTCTGTATGACCCTTGAAAATATAGCAGGTATCCTATATCTAAATTAAAATTGCTAACCTTTCACACTTTGAGTACATTTTAAAACTATTTTTTGATTTTAAAGCAATTCACTTGACTTTGTACATAATTATTCACATCTGATCTTCCTATAATATTGACACTTTAAACTAAAGATCACCTTGTATTTTTATTATAATTTTTCTTGCAAATATTTTAGCAAATGGTGGAGCCAGGGACCAAAATATTGCTGTTGGATTACTCAGGAAACTCCAAACTTTTGGATTTGTGGCTACAACATGTCTTCTGGTGGATGTATTGCCCCACATTACCCGTGTGTCAAAGGTTCTTCAACGTGATTCGCTCACTTTTGATGTAGGTAAAATTCTTATCCCTTACCCAATTTTTATCGCATATTGTGATCAGTTTGCAGGGCGGAGTATATCTGTATATCTAAAAAATTTTAAATGTGTCTTTTGACATGCACTGATGCCTCATCTGTTCAGTAGCCTATTTCTTATATTTTATTGATCTCAGAAATTATGTCAACATTGATTCAGGTGGTAGTAGAATCAGTACGGGCGCTTAGGGCAACAATCCAAGATATGATTGGAGTTGTTGATGCACAGACCTCCCCACAACTGGCTGGCCTTTTGCATATGGCGAGGGATCAACCCTACAGGGACATAGTCCTAACTGACAACAGGGACCAACCAAGAGACGCTTTTATGCGCCAGAGAGGTAATTAATATTACATCGCTGCTGTGTATTATTAGCTCACATGGTGAGCTTTTGCAATCACTCACTTGTCCGTCTGTCTGTCTGTCTGTCCGTCAACAATAGTGGCACGTTTTAAAACCTCTGTCGATAAGATTCCTGTTTTAAGTTATTTCTGTTCAACATCAATACAGAAAACCCCGCTATGACTCCTGGTTCAAAAGCTCGCCTATTTTCAAAATGGCCGTCACTTTTGTCTCGCGAAATTCACTTTTAGCCCATTTCCTAGCTAACCTCTGTCGATAGGATTCCTGTTTTAAGTTATTTCTGTTCAACATCAATACAGAAAACCCCCCTATGACTCCTGGTTCAAAAGCTCGCCTATTTTCAAAATGGCCGTCACTTTTATCTCGCGAAATTCACTTTTGGTCCATTTCCTAGCTTTACAAATAATTTCAGGTGTCCTACATTGTAAAAATCCATGTCAATGTAAAGATTAGATATATGAAATAATTTTTACGAAAAATCAGCAAAAATTATATCTATTTATTTATTTTCAGCCATTTTAGTTAACATTGATTTGTCCATCTGTCTCGCAAATTTCACTTTTGGACCATTTACCTTAAACCCTCTGTCGATAGGATTCCCATTTTAAGTTATTTTTGTTCAACATCAATACAAAAAATGATGGTAAACTGGAAAGGTGATAGATGTGGTATTGTTTCCAAATATCTCAGAGTATGCTGGTGACACATTCTACAGCCTCTGTCAATAGGATTCCCATTCGTTATTATATCACAACTAAAAGTGGTGACATATTATTATAGTCTCCAACTTTCTTTTTTGTGGACAGTGTGTGCGGTTGGTGTTCCGTAGTTGACATCTGTAACAAATGGCAGGTGGTTATATTTTGCATGTAACGCTTTGTCTTTATTTACCATCAAAACAGGAGTCTTCATTCAAATGCTTGTCATTTTGCAAAATTGCCACCTTTTTTGTTGTACGAATTTCATTTTTGCCCTACACCATGTGAGCCCAGTACCCACGGTACTAATTTTTTTTAGGTGACATCATTTCTGTTTATGGTCCAATGTCACAGTAGTTTATATTTCCAGCTAATAAAATTTCAAATATAATATACTGTAAAACGGGTATTGTTAGCGAGGGTAATTGTTAGCGATTGTTAGCGATTGCTATAGTTTCGCTAAAAATTCAAATCGTTAAAATTAACCGGGGTTAAAATAAACCGGTCGCCAAAATTTGCAAATTCCCGGGAAACTACATAAATACTAGTATTTAAGGAGCTTTTCGTTCAATGTGGGAGACTTCCTGTTTGTAATTTGAAAAGGTAAATATTTTTAAATCGTATGTTTCTTTCGATATCTGAAGAATAAATAGCCATCCATCCAGTTTGGACCAATACCATGTGCGTTAGAAGTCTTACATTTTGATAATTCCTCGGTCATGTCCGTTATTCATTCTTCTGCCATAAATGATAAAATTTCATATGCATTTCGCTAATTTGATTTTTAAAGATTAATCTTCATTTCGCTAAAATTTCCCGCGCTAAAACCCCCTAAATTGAAAAATCGCTAAAATTTCCCGGTGTCAAAATCACCCATTTTACAGTATGAAAATTCGCTGCGGTTCACCGAATTTGTCCAGAAATTTAAAAAGCCACCAAACGTTTAGAACTGTAGACATAGACCATATTAAGATTAAATTGTGACAGCAGGAAATTTAAGCAATTTTAATATTTGGTCTATTTCAGCTGCTTTTCTTCAAGCACTTGTAGCTGAGATTGATGGGCGGTTTCCAACAGATGCCCTTGATGCTATTACTGCTCTTGATCTGATTCTCAATCCAAAGAAATGGGGACGTGAACATGATGTTCAAAGACATCTCACTTATTTGGCAGAGGCATTTGGTCTTGATCGTGTATTGATGGCCCAAGAGTGGCCTATGGTAAAAAACCGTCTTCACCAGCACAACCTTGAAGGCACAAAATTCTCTGAGTTTGCAAAAAACCTTGTGGATGAAGCAGACTTGTACCCAGTGTTCGGAAAACTAGCAGAGATAGCACTTCTGATCCCATTGAACTCGGCATGTGCAGAGCGAGGATTCAGTGCTCAGAATCATATCAAATCCAAGGGTAGAGCGTCAATTGGCTAGGAACGTCTGGATCAATTGTTACGAACACACATAAACGGTCCTGCAGATCTGGCTAGAGTGAAAGCCAAGTTCACCGCAAAATTGAATAGGCGTAAATAGCGTGTTCGTTTCAACTGTCCATCCTTTCCCAGTATTATTGATCAAGTTAGTATAGTCATGAAACTTCATGGAGAAAAGTTTCTTTTTATTTTCTGTATGATATTACTGAGGTATGTTCAGTGTACTTCATGCCGAGTTCAGTAGGATCAGCATTGCTATCTCTGCAAACTTTTCTCCCACTTTGTAAAAATAGAGTGCATTTTTGGGAAATTTGAGCTTTTCCTCACAGTGAGGTAAAATATGAATGACTTCAATGACTTTTTGAGACATTTCTTGGTAATATTACTGAGGCATGTACATACATGGTGTACCACATGACCATATAGTTATAGTATCATGCTTACATTGATTCACACCCACATGGTAAAAATACTGGGGGAAAAACGTTTCATGATTTTGTTATTTTACTTTTGAAATTGCACGGAAGTTAACTGCAATACAATAATGAATGGAAAATTGTATTTGGCGAATAGGAACATGCATTACTGGCAAACTTTGTTGCGATCGCAGTTGTCAGGTTGTGGTGCCAAGTCATTATATACTAGTAAAGTGAGCTGTTACAAATTATAGACAGTAGATGTTAAGTGTTCAGATGTTGAGTGTTCATTTAGATGTTAAGCCTTCAGAGGTTCAGATGTTGAGATGTTCATATGCATTTAAAACGAGGGATATTTTGTTCACTTACATGATTGATCATTCTACTGTGTAGGCTCTACATGGGAGTCAATAGTGAATAAAAAATGTGAGCAAATCTGAAATTATGTTTTTATTGTTTAATTTACCAAATATTATAAGTTTTTCTGCTGTTTTTATGGGACCCACTTTTTCATGGTGGGACCCATATTTTTTTTATATTGGGGTCCCTGGGACCCAACTTAGGACTCGGCTACTGAAAGCACTGTTAATAAATACGCATTCGAACAATCCCGTATGTTTTTAAATTAGTATATGTACAGGGTGTCAAAAAACAACGGCACCCCCCTCTACAGCAAAAACTCCTAAATGTTACATGGCATGTCATATCTCATTTGAAAGATAATTTAATTCAGGAGTTACTCATCAAATTTCATTTAATAAAACTTTAAATTAAAAAAGCTATATTGTTTCGAAGTTTGCTACTTCAGTACTTTGTTTGCTACTTTATTACTGCTTTAAGGTCAAATCTTGGAAATGATTAATATGTAGAAAATAGCCCAGATCTCAACTACGCTGAACATATAGGTTCAATTGTGAAAGACAGGGTAGGGGAATTGATGGAGAGGGGCCTCTTGAAAATAGATACAGTTAGGATGTATTTCTGAAGAATATGAGAAAAGTGCTTTAAGGATTACGCAATGCTGAACCTCTCTTTGAATCTTCACTGAAGTCATATCCATCCAGATTAGCTGCTTTTCGAGCAGCAAGTGATGGCCATACCAACTTCTTATAATCAGCTATAAATCTGCAAAATTATATCATACGGAGCTGAAATTTCTCAAGTAACTCCAGAATTAAATTGTCTTTAAAATGGGATATGACACACTATGTAACATTAAGTACATTTTGCTGTAGAGGGGGGTGCTGTTGTTTTTTGACACCCTGTAGTATATATAGTATATTTTTGATTAAATAATTCAACTGATCTGCTCCGGTTACGTTCCCAGCTCCGGTTACGTTCCTAAGTAATATTTTTAAAACTTTTTTTTTAATTAAACAAATCAGAGTCGTGTGAATCAGAAATAACAGAATTATTCAAAAGTATAAGGACTATTCTGTACTTTTTTCAAAAGTCTATACTTAAATGTTGTGAAAAGTTATAATCGAAAAACCATCTTTCGGAGTAAAGTCCGTCTGCGCCGATTTCAATAACTTCGTACTTGATCAGAACTGGGTTCCAACAGAATTCCTACAAACTCATGAATGAAATAGTTATTGCATGGAATACTTACTTTTGTCAAAATCAAAATAGAACTCTAGTTAAAAAATATATTGTGCTAAATTATTGCCATTTCTTAGTAAAATGTCGTTCTCCGGTACGTTGCCAAAATTATTCGATGGTACCCCGTGAAAATAACACCATAGTTGGCTTCTCAAATACCTAGTATACCATTATTTTGTATCAAAATAAAGAGAAAGAGTGCAATTTCATTTTAATTACCAAAATAGGGATGTATGTCACGAATAGTTCCAACGTTGGCCTTTTAACTACGAGTGTCACGACCTTCATCTCAGAACTGAGCAAATGTTAGCAAACGCGAGTTCCAATAAATGGACACTGATATCTCGAAAAGAAACCTGACTATAATTTGATGTAGATTAATCGAACCCCTATATGAATAGGTACATTTTAATATATAACACTATGGGGGGTAAATGTTTCATAGTTGGTCACAAACGCCATAAGTGCAAAGTATTGTTCAGAATTTTTGAATTTTGTGTTGGGTTATGGTACTCACACCTAAAAAAATGACCTAAAGCATGGCTTTTTGATAGTTTAATAATATTTCTGTGCGTATTGCGTTGAATTGTGTTGATGTTTACTTAAGTTAAGTGCATTATATTTGATAAATCTGTATCTGAAAGTTTGATTTGAGTACTTTTACATTAGTCCCAATCACGCAAATCCCTTTTGGCACTGGGTCAAAAAATCTGTCTCGCGAGACAATCTTTGGGGGTTGACAGTACTGTGAATTATCGGCAGTGGTTAAAATAATCCAGTGATCGAAGTAGCCCCATGATGAAGTAATCCCATACCTCAAAGTTTTAAGCGACGCATATCCCCTACAGTGTAGTTGTTCATTGAAAGATCATTGGAATAAAATGACAAATGCTCTTTACCGTCTATATCATATTTTGAATTACAAACTCACAACTTATGTAGAGTCCATTTCACTGCTTCAGTTCGTCAGTAGAACGGCAAAAATAAGAAATTGGGAGACTATTGTGCAATAATATATGGAAAAGTATATTCATAATGTACATGAATGACATTTGTATATTTCAGATTTTTGAGTTTTTTGTGCAATAAGCCTGTGCCGTCTTGTAATTTGAAGAATTTCAGCCATGTTAATCTTAATGAAAATAACATGGCAGAGAAACATCCAAATATAAGAGGCCACACACTTTATAAGCCAAACTAGAAGCAATCCAAGATATACAAATGTCATTCGTGTACATTATGAATATACTTTTCCATATATTATTGCACAATGGTCTCCAAATTTCTTATTTTTGCCGTTCTACTGACGAACTGAAGCAGTGAAATGGACTTTAAGAAATGATTCATGATCATCAATCCAACCAAAAATAAAATAATTTCAACGATTCAATGCCTTATTTTACACGGAATTACTCACCAAAATAAGTCCACTTGCACTTATATAGCTTCAGCCGACCCCATTCATCAAGATGAGAATTGAGACAAAATGCAGTATTTTGTTGATACTTGATAATAGCCGAAGATTTAATTATTTCAGAATATTACTGTGAAAACTTTTGCAACCATCTTGTTTTGGATAAGTTGCACCAAAATTATAAACAAGTATTTTGATTTTGTTCGCCTACATTTAATTATTGTAATGTGCTATATATTGAGTTATGTTTTGTGTATTGTCTTGTAAGTTATATGATCATTCACAATTATATGTTAATATTATCTATATTATTTTCAAGCCTTGTTTCTTTTACAATTTTGCTGAAAAAATCTGAAATTCATTTGCTGAAACATTAATTTTCAAGAAAAGCAACGTTCGTAATATTAATCAAACTTGGGATTTGAAAGGTCAAGGTGACCCTAAGTTCAACATGGCTGTAGCAGTACCAGAAACTTGTGATGTGGAAACATTGTATTCTATTGATCCATACCTTAAGGCACACCATAGAGAAATCACAAGAAGGTGAGTAAATGCTTTATTTTTCTTTCCGAGCTAATGCCATCACCGCAATATTACTTCATCACAAGTTTTGAACCAGTTTTGAAGTTCTGCAAAATCACTTGACAAAAACATGTTCAGTCAGTTTTCACCTTCAAGACCTTCAAGTTCAACTGACAACTACATACACATGTAATGGAATGTTTCCGTGTTATTTGTGCAGTCGGCGAATTGTAAGGTATCCCTCAGTGACCAATGTCCCCTCGCTGTTAGTGTCATTATTACTCCTTCACTGGCCAATGTTCTCCAAGCACTTATTGAATGCCACGCCTACGCTTTGATTTGCGTTCTTTCCTATTTTTGAATCATAATGAATTGAAATGAAAATCCAAACCATGGGCGTAGCGCCCGGTACGCTGGGTACGCACAGGCGTACCAGATGGTTGCAAATTCACTCGAAATACAACCAAATTTCAAGACCCAGACCCCCTAAATACTCGTTTTTTGATTCACTCAACTCTTGTTCCGTGGTGGTGGCGTACTACTTAGGAAAATAGCGCTACGCCCATGCAAACTATACCGGGCCCTATACCGGCAGTTTCCTAAACCTTTGCTTTTCTCTTCTGCGACAATAACACTTTCTCCCAAATCTTGTGAAATATCCACCATCTTTTGTATTCACCCTTTAAGATGGAAAACCTGCAATGGAAAACTAAATTACCTGTCAATCGCTGATTCTAATACGATACCAACCAAACTCGTCTGGCCCAGTTGTCCACTCCCTGATTCTGAAATGTCTTAGATACTAGGCCAGATGATGTCCAATAGAAAAACGGGTGGATTTACTCCAGAGAAAACACACTGCTTTTCCAATGTACATTGTACAATATGCGCTGATATCTGAATAAACATTATAAATATACTTACATCTTTGTTCCTAGTGTTACATTTTGTATTCAATGTGAGTTTCCATCATTGGATGGCTACTAATTAATAAGAAATAAACGATTGAACGTAGCTTAAAGAAAAATTCTTCTGCAATCTGTGCGTGATCTTGTAGATTGATTATTTAGAAGTCTCAGCTGCTTATTTCGTTCAGCACAACATTTGTTCAGTCAAATTAAAAAATTGTATGTACTGCCCACCACATTTGTTTCCAGTCTTACTACGACATAGATATGTCAGTTTTATAAAGTAATATACATTATGATGACAAATCTTCTGAACAAATCATAATATTTGGAATGTATTGATTACCGGGAAATGATCATAGTTTCATGAAAGATTGAAAATGTTCCTGTCACACTCGTGTTACGTCACATCATGTGACATTGTTAGACGAGAAGAATTGGGGAAAAGTGACGAAATGTTGTGCACATTTCAACATCAATATAACAAACAAAACACCACATTTACGTGTAAGTTACATGTATGTACTCTTTATTTCAAATAAATACTTGGGTTTACATAGAGCCCGATGTTTTGGTTGGATGGCTAATTGGGAATGACAAATAAGTGATGATTCAGCGACATGTTTTCTCTGGAGTAAATCCACCCTTTTACCATTGGAGCTCGTCTGGCCCAGATCTACGACATCAGGAGTAGATAACTGGGTCAGACGGGTTTGGTTAATATTATACATGATGTCACAATAGGTAGAACAATTGATTTACTGGTCTTTATTAGAGTATGTATGACCGCTAAAATTCATGAATGCAAATAGTTGTGTTTCTTGTCTGTTTATATATGTCAAGATTTAGGGACAAAAATTTATGTCATTTTAAAGTAAAGCTTTTTTTCTTTACAATGACGAGTTGAGAAATTTAAAAACATCCCACTAACTGAACTTTTAAACTTTTAAGGCATGTATTTTCAAAAAGCTTTACATTGGCGATATTCCATTACATTCTTGGACTTTGATTTATTTACATTCTTGGACTTTGCGATTGAAAGTTGTTAACTTTATAGCATGGATTTTCAAAAAGCTTTACATTGGCCATATTCCTTTACATTCTTGGACTTAGATTATTTTACGATCTAACGAGGTGAAATTTTATGGCATGCGTTTTCAAAAAGCTTTATATTGGCCATATTCCTTTACATTCTTGGACTTAGATTATTTTACGATCTATAGAAGTGAAATTTTATGGCATGCATTTTCAAAAAGCTTTACATTGGCTATATTCCTTTACATTCTTGGACTTAGATTATTTTACGATGTAACGAGGTGAAATTTTATGGCATGCATTTTCAAAAAGCTTTACATTGGCCATTTTCCTTTACATTCTTGGACTTAGAATATTTTACGATATATACTTGATAACTTTTAAGGCATGTATTTTCAAAAAGCTTTACATTGGCCATATTCCTTTACATTCTTGGACTTAGAATATTTCACGAAGCAAAGTTGTGAACTTTTTAAGCAGGCATTTTCAAAAAGCTTTACATTGGCGAAATTCCATTACATTCTTGGACTTAGAATATTTTGTGATTGAAAGTTGTGAATTTTTATAGCATGCATTTTCAAAAAGCTTTACATTGGCCATATTCCTTTACATTCTTGGACTTAGATTATTTTACGATCTATAGAAGTGAAATTTTACAGCATGCATTTTCAAAAAGCTTTACATTGGCCATATTCCTTTACATTCTTGGACTTAGATAATTTTACGATCTAACGAGGTGAAATTTTATGGCATGCATTTTCAAAAAGCTTTACATTGGCCATATTCCTTTACATTCTTGGACTTAGATTATTTTACGATCTATAGAAGTGAAATTTTATGGCATGCATTTTCAAAAAGCTTTACATTGGCTATATTCCTTTACATTCTTGGACTTAGATTATTTTACGATCTTACGAGGTGAAACTTTATGGCATGCATTTTCAAAAAGCTTTACATTGGCCATTTTCCTTTACATTCTTGGACTTAGAATAATTTACGATATATACTTGATAACTTTTAAGGCATGTATTTTCAAAAAGCTTTACATTGGCCATATTCCTTTACATTCTTGGACTTAGAATATTTCACGAAGCAAAGTTGTGAACTTTTTATGCAGGCATTTTCAAAAAGCTTTACATTGGCGAAATTCCATTACATTCTTGGACTTAGAATATTTTGTGATTGAAAGTTGTGAATTTTTATAGCATGCATTTTCAAAAAGCTTTACATTGGCCATATTCCTTTACATTCTTGGACTTAGATTATTTTACGATCTATAGAAGTGAAATTTTACAGCATGCATTTTCAAAAAGCTTTACATTGGCCATATTCCTTTACATTCTTGGACTTAGATTATTTTACGATCTAACGAGGTGAAATTTTATGGCATGCATTTTCAAAAAGCTTTACATTGGCCATTTTCCTTTACATTCTTGGACTTTGAATATTTTACGATCTAACGAGGTGAAATTTTATGGCATGCATTTTCAAAAAGCTTTACATTGGCCATTTTCCTTTACATTCTTGGACTTAGAATATTTTACGATATATACTTGATAACTTTTAAGGCATGTATTTTCAAAAAGCTTTACATTGGCCATATTCCTTTACATTCTTGGACTTAGAATATTTCACGAAGCAAAGTTGTGAACTTTTTATGCAGGCATTTTCAAAAAGCTTTACATTGGCGAAATTCCATTACATTCTTGGACTTAGAATATTTTGTGATTGAAAGTTGTGAATTTTTATAGCATGCATTTTCAAAAAGCTTTACATTGGCCATATTCCTTTACATTCTTGGACTTAGATTATTTTACGATCTATAGAAGTGAAATTTTACAGCATGCATTTTCAAAAAGCTTTACATTGGCCATATTCCTTTACATTCTTGGACTTAGATTATTTTACGATCTAACGAGGTGAAATTTTATGGCATGCATTTTCAAAAAGCTTTACATTGGCCATTTTCCTTTACATTCTTGGACTTAGAATATTTCACGAAACAAAGTCATGAACTTTTTATACAGCATTTTCAAAAAGCTTTACATTAGCTAAATTCCATTACATTCTTGGACTTAGATTATTTTGCGATTGAAAATTGTGAACTTTTAAACATGCATTTTCAAAAAGGTTTACATTGGCCATATTCCTTTACATTCTTGCACTTAATTTATTTTGCGATCTATAGAAGTAAATTTTATGGCATGCATTTTCAAAAAGCTTTACATTGGCCATTTTCCTTTACATTCTTGGACTTAGAATATTTTGCGATTGAAAGTTGTGAACTTTTAGAGCATGCATTTTCAAAAACCTTTACATTGGCAATATTCCTTTACATTCTTGGACTTAGATTATTTTACGATATATACTTGATAACTTTCAAGGCATGTATTTTCAAAAAGCTTTACATTGGCCATATTCCTTTACATTCTTGGACTTAGAATATTTCACGAAGCAAAGTTGTAAACTTTTTATGCAGGCATTTTCAAAGAGCTTTACATTGGCGAAATTCCATTACATTCTTGGACTTAGATTATTTTGCGATTGGAGGTTGTGAACTTTTATAGCATGCATTTTCAAAAAGCTTTACATTGGCCATATTCCTTTACATTCTTGGACTTAGAATATTTTACGATCTAACGAGGTGAAATTTTACAGAATGCATTTTCAAAAAGCTTTACATTGGCCATATTCCTTTACATTCTTGGACTTAGATTATTTTACGATCTAACGAGGTGAAATTTTATGGCATGCATTTTCAAAAAGCTTTACATTGGCCATTTTCCTTTACATTCTTGGACATAGATTATTTTACAATCTACATGTATAGAAGTGAATTGAAAGTTATGAACTTTTATAGTATGCATTTTCAAAAAGCTTTACAATGGCCATTTTCCTTTACATTCTTGGAATCGGATTATTTTACGATGTAAACCTTGACTTGTTCTTCCCCTTACATGTACCTACGTGTACTTCTGAGTAATTTGTAATTAACAATCAAATCAACAAATATTCACATATCATATTAGCAGATGTCTGGCGAAATTACATTACAATAAGATATTCTGATCGATAGAGTATTTGGTTATAAAACCGGAAGTGTTTTCTCTGAGGTCGGCGCGTCAAATTCCATATATGTATTCTACCTTCGATATTAAGTATTTGCCGGTACATCCTCCCGATTAATACCTATCATTAGGTGCTTTCAACACCATGTTTTTCTAATGTTATCGCAAAATAGTCCATAAAATGAAGGAAATGTTTCAAAGTTAAGAAATTTGATCGGCATTTTACCAAAAGAGCTTCTGCGCATGAGTTCTGCGCATGTCAAAAGCCCGTCAAACGTTCTCATTTCTTTTAACATTTCTCGCCTTTTACACGACTTTCCCACCTGGAATCATACTCTATCATCAAATTAGAAATATAAGGCATAACTTTAGATCGATTTCCAACCATCTCTTGTGAAAGTATTGAAGATGATCGGGGAAAACAATCCCGTCTATTCGAGGGGCTCTCTTGGGGATTTCTTCAATCACTATCAATACTATTGTCTTATGCAAGTTCATTTCTATATTTAGCGATCTTTACTGTATTCTCTCCAATGACATATGGTTTTTACAATTCTACATGTACTGTACGTCGTGAAAGAACAGAATCCAACAAATACCAAATCTAAAAGTCAAAATAAGTAGGCTAAAGGAAAGGGGACAGTAAAGCGTGGAAATACATGTACAGCATTCTATGAGAGTTCACAACTTAAATCGTAAAATGAGCTAAGTCCAGGAATGTAAAGGAATTTGGCCAATGTAAACCTTTTTGAAAATACATAACATAATAGTTTACAACTTTAAATCTTGATATAATCTAAGTCCAAAAATGTAATGGAATATGGCCAATGTAAAGCTTTTTGAAAATGGATGGCATAAAATTTCACTTCTATAGATCGTAAAATATTCTAAGTCCAAGAATGTAAAGGAAAATGGCCATTGTAAAGCTTTTTGAAAATGCCTGAATTAAAAGTTATCTACTTTACATAGTAAAATAATCTAAGTCCAAGAATGTAATGGAATTTTGCCAATGTAAAGCTTTTTGAAAATGCCTGCATAAAAAGTTCACAACTTTGTTTCGTGAAATATTCGAAGTCCAAGAATGTAAAGGAATATGGCCAATGTAAAGCTTTTTGAAAAGACGTGCCTTAAAAGTTATCAAGTATATATCGTAAAACATTCTAAGTCCAAGAATGTAAAGGAAAATGGCCAATGTAAAGCTTTTTGAAAATGCATGCCATAAAATTTTACTTCTATAGATCGTAAAATAATCTAAGTCCAAGAATGTAAAGGAAAATGGCCAATGTAAAGCTTTTTGCAAATGCATGCTGTAAAATTTCACTTCTATAGATCGTAAAATAATCTAAGTCCAAGAATGTAAAGGAATATGGCCAATGTAAAGCTTTTTGAAAATGCATGCTATAAAAATTCACAACTTTCAATCACAAAATATTCTAAGTCCAAGAATGTAATGGAATTTCGCCAATGTAAAGCTTTTTGAAAATGCCTGCATAAAAAGTTCACAACTTTGCTTCGTGAAATATTCTAAGTCCAAGAATGTAAAGGAATATGGCCAATGTAAAGCTTTTTGAAAATACATGCCTTAAAAGTTATCAAGTATATATCGTAAAATATTCTAAGTCCAAGAATGTAAAGGAAAATGGCCAATGTAAACCTTTTTGAAAATGCATGCCATAAAATTTCACCTCGTTAGATCGTAAAATATTCTAAGTCCAAGAATGTAAAGGAAAATGGCCAATGTAAAGCTTTTTGAAAATGCACGCCATAAAATTTCACCTCGTTAGATCGTAAAATAATCTAAGTCCAAGAATGTAAAGGAATATAGCCAATGTAAAGCTTTTTGAAAATGCATTCTGTAAAATTTCACCTCGTTAGATCGTAAAATATTCTAAGTCTAAGAATGTAAAGGAATATGGCCAATGTAAAGCTTTTTGAAAATGCATGCCATAAAATTCACTTCTTTATATGATAAAATAATCTAAGTCCAAGAATGTAAAGGAAAATGACCAATGTAAAGCTTTTTGAAAATGCATGCCATAACATTTCACTTCTATAGATCGTAAAATAATCTTAAGTCCAAGAATGTAAAGGAAAATGGCCATTGTAAAGCTTTTTGAAAATGCCTGCATAAAAAGTTCACAACTTTGCTTCGTGAAATATTCTAAGTCCAAGAATGTAAAGGAATATGGCCAATGTAAAGCTTTTTGAAAATGCATGCTGTAAAAGTTCACCTCTTCAGTTCGTAAAATATTCTAAGTCTAAGAATGTAAGGGAAAATGGCCAATGTAAAGCTTTTTGAAAATGCATGCCATAAATTACACTTCTATATATCATAAAATATTCTAAGTCCAAGAATGTAAAGGAATATGGCCAATGTAAAGCTTTTTGAAAATGCCTACATTAAAAGTTCACAACTTTCAATCGTAAAATAATCAAAGTCCAAGAATGTAATGGAATATCGCCAATGTAAAGCTTTTTGAAAATGCCTGCATTAAAAGTTCACAACTTTCAATCGTAAAATAATCAAAGTCCAAGAATGTAATGGAATATCGCCAATGTAAAGCTTTTTGAAAATACATGCCTTAAAAGTTTAAAAGTTCAGTAAGAGGGATGTTTTTAAATTTCTCAACTCGTCATTGTAAAGAAAAAAAGCTTTACTTAAAAATGACATAAATTTTTGTCCCTAAATCTTGACACTGATGTGTCTGTTTATCATATTAGAATAGTAACAAAGACCTCAATTTTATGATTTATGTCAAATATGACCTCAAATTTGTCCATTGTTAAAATGGCAATGGCCAGAATAAAATTTTAGGTCATATTTTACGCCATAAATCATAAAATCTCGGCCTTTAAATAAATATTGGTAATCGTAATGCCTTTAACTTTTCCATGATCATTTCCATCAATTTTGCCTGTTGTTGTTTTCATTTATCTAGCTTGTTGTGAGATATTCTAGTGAAACCCCTGTTTTGGATTTCGTTTTTATGTGGAGTTGACCATTTTGATATGCATTACTCAAATGCGCTTTTTCGAAGATTTGAAATGGACAATTGTCAGGCCCGTAGCCAGGGGGGGTTCGGGGGGTTCGGGCGAACCCCCCCCCTGCCAAAATTTCTTTCAAAATCATGCAGTTTTCCACCATTCTGACTATTTTTTGAGTGATCTTTGGCCAAATTTGCCAAAGTGAACCCCCCCTAGAATTTTTAAAAATAAGTGATACGTTGCCGAACTTTGTCTGAACGTTCACTGACGCTGCAAGACAAATATACGACTGAAAGTGAACCCCCCTAGATTTTTCGGGAAAAGTGAACCCCCCTTGGGAAATTCTGGCTACGGGCCTGATTGTTTTCAGTCATTAAAGTCATAAGAAGAGTAAATAGAACATCTTTAAGGCTTCAAATGATCTCGGGTTGATGAAAAAACTCTTGTTGATACAAACATCATAAAAACATGAGTAATCTCCAAGCTGTAATTATTTGGAAAAATATTCAACATTTTAATAAAATGTCTTACATGCATAAGATTTAGACGACTATGATGTGTGAGGCTGAATTTGGATAAAAAGTGTCAAAAATCAGGAAAACCCCAAACAGCCTCACATTTATGCGGGTAGAATGCCTCCCCTGAATTCGAAGTGTATTAGTATAGTCGTGTAGATGTTAGCTTGAGTCTTCAGGAACATATATTTTATTATTTTTGAAATGGCACCATTTGTACACCTTCTTTTTACCTCAATTGATTCTAACATTGATTTCTTATGTTCTATCTACATGACAAAAATTTTGACCATCTCAACTTGCTGAAGTATTCACTTTAAGTTTAAATCAATGTTATTTCAAAATGTCCACCCGGAACCTTTTGGAATGGATTTAATGAACGTAACCAAATTGATGTCAAAGTGAATGTTGATCCAGATTCTCTGGGAGAAAAATGGCCACACATCTTTAAAAAACCTGGCTCAGCATTCCCTTCGGTAAAATTCATAAAGCCATTCAGATATAGTGATTGATAAAACTCAATCAATTAAATGAACTGAATGTGTTCGTGTTAGTAGTCCCTCCCATTATCTTTCAGTTATAAACCTCCTTCTTTGAACTTTATTTCTCCTGACCATTACTTAAAGTTCATGTGCAAAACTTATTTCCATATTTCTGAACATTTACTTATACAGGTGAACAAACATGCAGTGTATACCTCAAGGATGTAAAAAGGATCTCAAAATTGGTAAAATGCACCAATATTTCAATTTTCAAATGGTAAATCGGTTTTCAGCTAATACGCTTAGCCCAAGATGCTTAGCTATTTTCAAAATGTTATGTAGGTGCAGCACCCACTTAAATGCTTGGAAGATCATTCACCTGCATATATTAAGCTTTATTGTACCTCTTTTAGGTTTGATTGTTTCAAGCAAAGTCTGACAGACATTGAGAAGAATGAAGGCATTGAAGCATTCACCAGTAGTTACAACACCCTTGGTCTCCACCAGACAGCAGATGGGGGGATAGAAAGTGTGGAGTGGGCCCCAGGGGCCGAGGCACTTTTCTTGAGGGGAGACTTCAGTAAGGACATTACATTCTGATTAAATAGTTTAAACCCCTCGGCCCTCATCAGTAATCCTCTGATTCTATATACAATATCATAATGTATAATCATAAAATCATAACAATTTGTTATACTGTAGATGTTATAGCAAAAGATGAAAAGACCCATTCCTTTTTTGATTGCCTCAAAAAATGTGAATATTTTGCCTCACATTATTTTTGACACTTTCCCCTCCATTCCAATTTGTATATTCAAACAGGTCGAATGTTTGCAGTGCAAAGTGCCGTAATATCAGAGACAGACAATATATAAAAACAGTATGTTATAATTCAGACGACATAAATGTAAAAAAAATTGTTCAATTCGAAAAATAGATTAAAGATCTTTTGACTGTTTTTGCAGATAATTGGCAGAGAGCCCAGCATAGATATGAAAAACTCCCTTTTGGCAAGTGGAAGCTGACTCTACCCCCTAACTCAAATGGTACATGTCCAATACCACATAACAGTATGATCAAGGTCAGTTGAACAGAATAAGGTTGTAATTAATTCTCCCCTGTTAGTCATGCATGCTTCTCGGGTTTCACTTTGGTTTCAGACAATTTGCAAATACACAAAAACAACAGGCAAAATTATAATTTTCATCATGTTAAAAAATTCTTCAAAAAATCTTCATGACAGCTGTTGCCTGTTACAGAATGTCTGTTTACTTGAAAGTGTGTGACTTATGATGCCATAAGCAAAGCTGCTACAAATTTTTATGTTTTACGTAAATGTGATGTCAAAAGAAATTTTACGAATGAAAATTAGCTTGACCCATACAAGATTTCATGTATTAAATTGTGAAACTCTGTTGTATAATGTACACCTTCAATCTTTATCAGGAGATTATTAAAGCTGCTTTATTGTTTGAAACGTTGATTTATTATTCTATGGTTTGTGTTTAGCTACTGTAGTATGGTTTAAGAAGTTTCAAAAATCTAGTGTTTGAGCATGACCAGTTGCAAATGAAAATTCATATTCCAGTGGCCTAAGCCTTACAGTATATACAAACTACAATGTATGTACTGCAATTAATATTTTTAGTTGGAAGTACTTTCTAAAGATGGACAGATGCTAGATAGGATCTCTCCATGGGCCAAGTATGTGTGCCAAAAGGAAAAAGCAAATGTTTTCGATTGGCATTTCTGGAATCCTCCAAAAGAAGAGGTAAATGCATGATTATAAATTATATGAATTATAAGCCAGTAGAATGATGATTCTCTGAAAAATCTTGTATGAACACAAGTATCTACAACTACTTTCCATATCAAGCAATTTTGCTCTTTTTACACGACTGAACTCTTTTACATGTATTGTAATATCTTCAGTATAAATGAAATGTCCCATAGTCTTGAGGTTTTTGTTTGTGATTATAATTTCTGAATGGTGGGATGGGAGAAAGAATAGCAACCTAGATATCCAGTAAGGGTCTAACGGTGCACCGAAACCGCGGTGCTCCGCGGTTCTTGGGCCTCGGTCGGTACGTTCGGTTTGAAAACTCCGATGTTCGGTTTTTTAACGGTTCGTTAATTCAGAAAAAAGTGCCGTTCGCTAAAGTAGAGGAAGATGAATCTCGAAACGAGAGGTGAAGATTTCGGCATTCTAAACGCTCAAAAGTCGTACAAGGCCTACTGTTTGGGTTATTTTGGATTTCCAAAAATTTTGCAAAATCGTTATGGTATATGAGAAAGGTACGTGTGAAAAAATGTGAAAATTTGCTGTCTGCAGAAATAGAATAGATCTAGATCATGCTCCCGGGCCGCTTATTTATTATGAAATCGCGCCATCTAGAAGTTCTGCTCGAAAGCCGATTTTCAAAATGGCCGCTCATTTCAAAATTTAGGCCATTTAGGTGCAACATGTAAAACTGTAATAGCAATATGTTTTAAATGTAAAAAAATTATAAAGGACATTAATAATGCTACAAATGTAGATATTAAAGAAGCACATGGCAGCCATCTTGAAAAATGGCGGCCTTTACTCGTCATTTTACGATTTTTGCTGTAACTCAAAAAATAATGGAGCAAATTTGTTCATATTTGGTATGTGAATACTATAAGCATTGCACACTGTCTAAAGACACTTTTGGTAGAAGGCGGCCATTTTGAAAAATGGCCGCCATTACTCGTCATTTTACGATTTTTACTATAACTCGAAAAGTAGTGGAGCGATTTTGTTCATATTTGGTATGTGAATACTATAAGCATGGCACACTGTCCTATGGCACTTTGGGTAGAAGGTGGCCATTTTGAAAAAAAAATTGAAAAATGGCCTCCATTTTAACGTATTTTACTATAACTCGAAAAGTAGTGGAGCGATTTTGTTCATATTTGGTATGTGAATACTATAAGCATGGCACACTGTCCTATGAGACTTTTATAAGAAGGTGGCTATTTTGAATATTTACTATAACTCGAAAAGTAGTGGAGCGATTTTGTTCATATTTGGTATGTGAATACTATAAGCATGGCACACTGTATATTTCTAATGACACTTTTGGTAGAAGGTGGCCATTTTGAAAAATGTATTTTACTATAACTCAAAAAGTAATGGAGCGATTTTGTTCATATTTGATATGTGAATACTTTAAGCATGGCACATTGTCTAATAAAACTTTGGGGAGTAGTCGGCCATTTTGAAAAATGGCCACCATTTTTATGTGTGTTATTTTACAAGTACGTGTGCGATTTTTCAAAAATTTTAGAGGTGGCTACTTAAAAGCATATTATATTTCTTCTGATGACAACTTGGCTAGTGAGCAACCATTTTGAAAATGGTGGCCTTTCTGGTGTGTTGTTTTATGATATTTGCTATTCGTTTGTAAAAATGCCAGCCATTTCTGTTCGATGGGATTCGCTACGCTTTGGCGTTGCCGTTGTTCTGGTTTGAAATAAAACTGACTTAGATCAGATGTAAACATGTTCCCGGGCTGCTCATTTAAATAATGAAATCGCGCCATCGTTTTGAGTTATTTGAATTTTTACATTAAAGTGCGATAAGAACCGAAAACCGAACTGAAACCGAAACCGAGGAGATAAAGCCCTAATATCCAGGTAAAAATAAATGCATGTGGTCAGTATATAGTTTTGTTCAAGATTACATGAACATAATACATATTCTAGCCGCTATTTGAAATTCTATTTTCAGATATACAAATTTCAACATCCACGACCACAAAAACCAGAGAGTTTGAGAATTTATGAAGCTCATGTTGGTATTGCATCTTGGGAAGGAAAGATATCATCCTACAAAAATTTCACTTATAATGTCATACCAAGGATCAAGAATTTAGGTAGGACACACATGTACATGCACATCTTGAACCTAAACCAATTTTTTTTTACTAAACAAAGACCTTACTGATTTGCGCTTTGACAAATCCTTAAGGAGTTAAGTTTCAGCATGTTAATGTATACAGGGTGTCCCGAAAGTATGGGGCCCCCCTAGGCAGACATACACTGATGTCCCCATAGTATGTGTCATATATCATTTTAGGAAGTCAGTCTTTATATGTGGTTTTCTATACAACAAATTAATAAGCATCCTCCAGTTGCAGCCATTCTGTTAAAATAACGGTTGTTATGGACTCAGATACTCTACTTTATTCCATAGTTAGCATGATATTCATAGGATAACATGTGAAAATGAAAATGGTATTTTTGTAATCAGTGGTAAAATATGATATTTTTGACAAATTTTCACTTAACCATAGCATAAGTTTTTTTAGCCATGATATGGCGGCGTATGCGATGGTTTATGGATTTTTGCTACTTCAGATTCAAAACGAGGCTAAGTGTCAACATCAACGGATCGTTTGGAAAATTCGAATTAAATCACTTAATTTCCGACGATTCTGATGATGACTTTAACTATGGAATAAAAAGAACATCCTATGATTTACTCGTGATATGATTTTAATCCACTCATGGATATTAATATCTGCACACTCTCGCTACGCTCGCTCATGCAGATATCATATCCATTCGTGGATAAAAATCATATCACTCATAAATCATAGGATATCCTCTATATATGCACATGACATATGATTTTTTGTTCCAGGTTATAATGCGATTCAACTGATGGCTATAATGGAACATGCCTACTATGCAAGCTTTGGTTACCAAATCACAAGCTTCTATGCTGCTTCTAGGTAAACAGTAAATATTAAAAACATTTTAACCTCTTGACTACCTGGAGTGACGAGATTTCTCTATTTTACTTATTATGTCACCGCCAGAAGTGGTGACATATTGTTATAGTCTCCATCGTTTTTGTTGACCATGTTTGGTGTTTGGCGGTTGGTGTTAAGCAGTTGGCATCTGTAACAAATGGTAGGTGGTGACTTTTTGCATGATAATGCCTTGCATTATTTTAAACTGATTATGAAGTAATTTATAGCATTAAAGTGGATAACTAAGTTAAACATTTTTTATATAAATGTGGATGTGGCATAGATAATCAGTTACAGTACCAGGCCCGTAGCCAGGGGGGGTTCGCAGGGTTCGGGCGAACCCCCCCCCCCCCCCTGGCCAAAAATTCTTTCAAAATCATGCAGTTTTTCACCATTTTGAGCATTTCTCAAGTGATTTTAGCCATATTTGGGCCAAAATTGACAAATGTGAACCCCCCCTGGAAATTTTTGAAAAATGAACCCCCCCTTGACAAATCCTGGCTACGGGCCTGAGTACACAGACCAGTTCTAACTTGCTCAAAACATTTCAAACAATTATTGAGATATCACTATTGGGTAACATGGGCAAAAACTTTGTGTTTCAGTCGTTATGGAACTCCCGAAGAACTGAAGGAACTTGTTGATGTTGCACATAAAAATGGTCTGTACGTCTTACTCGATGTTGTTCACAGCCACGCCTCTAAAAATGTCGCTGATGGATTAAATCAATTTGATGGCACAGAATCCTGCTTCTTCCACGAGGGAGGCCGTGGGACTCATGATTTGTGGGATAGCAGACTTTTCAATTATACGGCGTAAGTTTAGTAAATCATTTCAAATCTACCATGCTGATCCTTTCTCAACCAATCAGCGATTTGAAAGGAACACATGCTAAATAGTGCTCATTAACTCTGCGGGATGTCAGAGGAAATGATCATATCTGTTGTCTGTATTTCGACGACAAACTCTGATTGAAATTTCGAGTATATTTACTGAATTGTGAATTTCAAATAAATTGTTTGTTTGTATCTAGGTGGGAAGTTCAAAGATTCTTGTTGTCCAACCTTCGCTGGTGGATTGAGCAGTACATGTTTGACGGCTTCCGTTTTGATGGTACTACTTCTATGATCTACCACAGTCATGGCATGGGTAAGTTCACTTAGAATGTCACTAAGGGGTGGTGGATCTGAGGTTCTAGGCGAGAGAAATAACATACAAGGGGCATTGACCAAAAGTAAGATGACACATGCTGTCATATTGTTGAAACTTCCAAATTTTTCACAGAATATTTACTTGTTTGTATGTATTTAGAAATTCATATGTATCATATGGTTGCTACAAGTGTTATAATAGTAATTTTATGACTTTCGAAAATAAAATTTTATGTAGTGACATAAAAAACTAATAAACATTCTGGGAAAAAATAGGAAGTTTTAAAAATAAAGGACAAGGTCAAAATGTGTGTCACCTTACTTTTGGTACGCCCCTTGTACATGTAATAACTTGATGCAAGGCCAATCAGTTTCCCATGCAAGTTGGATCTGCACCCACATGAGATTTTGACATTAAGCCTGACATCATATTTGAAAAAAAACAAATCACAAAATATTGGCATGTTTTTACCAGCTTTTGTCAGAGTAAAGGAAAATAAGAATTTTGCAACCACTTTTACATCTCATACTTTTGCATCTCATATTATAGGTGATGGATTCAGTGGAGACTACAATGAATACTTTGGACTGAATACAGACACAGAGTCTTTGGTCTATCTGATGCAGGCAAATTATATCTTACACTCACTCTATCCATTCATCATCACCATTGCTGAGGTAAATAAAAGCATAATCTTGCCTCCTTTTTAGCTTCTACAGAAACTTGATTCTCAGGGTAGTTTACTGTTCATTTAAAGTTATACACTGTATTCATTTTTGATTGAGGATGCTTCTTTGGACATGTACAAAGTGCTGGACATTCAGAAAATTATTTTGAGATCTTGTCAGTAATTTTGTGAGCATGTTATACGACATAAGTGATAAAATATGTTAATCCATCAACCAGCTACTTGTTACTGTTACAGTTTTTTCGGCCTGTAACTTTGTATCATACAGCCTGTAACTTTGTATCATACAGACTGTTACTTTGTATCATACAGCCTGTTACTTTGTATCATACAGCCTGTTACTTTGTATCATACAGCCTGTTACTTTGTACTTTGCAACCTGTTTGTGTTCTTACAACCCATAGTGAGATATCACAGCCATGACAGCCTTTCTCAGTTTCTTTCTAGAAACTTGTGCTTGGCAGAGATGGTCTGAGTATCAGAATGCTTACAACCATTCCTTTATATTTTCTAGGAAGTGTCAGGCATGCCTGGGTTATGCCGTCCAGTAACAGAAGGAGGGGGAGGATTTGACTACAAACTAGCTATGGCTATTCCAGACATGTGGATCAAGGTACATTAATAAGTTTATGACGAGACATAGTATTCAAGGTGTATATCTAACATTGTATATCATTAAACCTTCTTATGCTTTAGAGTCTCATAAACCAAATCTTGGAAACTCCCTTATGTTTCAATTTGTTTAGAAATATGTGCATTTTGAGGTATATTATAAGCAGTGTTACAATGAAAAAATAAAGGAAAATTATAGATTAAGTTGAATGACAGTCAAAAGAGGCATCTTTTGAATCAATTTTCAAAAGTCAACAATTACATTTATTTACATCAAATTTTTTTTTGTAGATTTTAATTCAAAGTTCATGTATGACTAAAATAACAGCATGTTTATATTTGCATTTAGATTCTCAAACATGAGCAAGATGATAATTGGAAAATGGCCCATATAGTTCACACGCTTACGAATAGACGTTGGAAAGAAAAACATATCGCATATGCTGAAAGCCATGATCAAGCTCTAGTTGGTGATAAAACCATTGCATTTTGGCTAATGGACAAAGAAATGTACACAAATATGTCATGCCTGACCCACCTTAGTTTGATAATAGAGCGGGGATTAGCTTTACATAAGATGATCAGGCTAATCACACATGGATTAGGTGGTGAAGGCTACTTAAACTTCATTGGTATGTACATGTAGTGCAGATAACTTGAAAATAGTTTGCTGCTGTCTTGAATTGCTTTTAGTATTTGCTAGATTAAAGATACCAGTTGTTCAACATGAAAATGGAAGGAACTCTTCTTCCTCGATTTTGATTACAAACAAGTGAATATGACGATAAAGATTGAAGATATATACTCAATATGTAGATCATATGTGGTAAACAAAATATAGTACAAATGATTACAGTTTAGATAGGCCATATGCCTAAGTTTTCACTGAAGATTCAGATTCCCTTTTTAACAAAGGATAAAATAGATAAAATAACATTTTTATTTAATTTTGTGAAATATCTTGCCACTTTATATTGAAATAAAATAATGCTTTTTCACTCTTAACCATGTCATCTGTTATATTATACGCATTATTATCTGTTACATACCTTATTTCAGGAAATGAATTTGGTCATCCTGAATGGTTAGATTTTCCCAGAGTTGGAAACAATGAATCCTTCCATCATGCAAGGCGTCAGTTCAATCTTGCCGATGATGATTTACTCCGTTATAAGTTCCTTAATAGGTTTGATGCAGACATGAATCACTTAGACGAAAAATATAATTGGCTTGCATCACCACAGGTAAAAATTTTCGAAGTTTAGAATTTTGAAAAATTCTCAAAATAAAGATAGTGCCACCTGTTTCAAATGGTAATATGAGAAATCTTGTCTCTCGGATTAAAAAACAAGTACTTATGCTTTCTGATTTCTGTCATGTTTATTTCAGGGATATGTTAGCTGCAAACATGATGGGGATAAAGTGATAGCCTTTGAACGTGCAGGGCTTGTGTTTGTTTTCAACTTTCATCCTTCTCAAAGCTTCACAGACTACAGAATTGGAGTGGATGAACCTGGAAAGTATCCTTTTATGAAATGTTAAAGCCTAATACAGTAAAACCTGTTATGTCTATATTGAACATTTTTTGCCAACATTCAATGTTGGTAGGTGTTCACTACAGAGAGGGTAATTTATACAGTAGTCTAATTAAATAGAGTATGTTTGGAGGAAAGGTGTCCACTGGAGACAAATGTTGGTATTGACAAGAGAAACCTTCACTAAGACAGGTGTTAATAAAGCTACACTTATTTTAAACAACTAAAATGGTTCAATGGTTTGTGTTTGATGGTTGGTATTTACCAGTTGGCAGTCAGTGTTCGGTTTCTTTAACAAATTGAAAGTGGTGACATTTTCATGTTAATTCTTTGTTTCACTATGTAACTTTCTACTGCTTACAAGAAAAGGGATTTCTTTCACACCTCAAATGGGTAATCATGATGATGATGTTGGACTGTTTATCCCACCGAACGAAGTTCGAGGGGTATATAGAGAAGCCGTCCGTCCGTTTGTCCGTGTGTCCGGGCGATAACTCCAATACCGATTGACGGATTTGGTTCAAATTTTATAGGCTTATGCCTTATGAGTGAAGGACCTCTGCTTGAGAAGGAATTTACAATATGGCCGCTCAATTTAAAATGGCCGCCATTTTTCGTAAAAAATGTAATCGTTGATAATTCAAATACAAGTTGACGGATTTGGTTCAAATTTTATATGCTGATGCCTAGGGACAAAGGAGTTTCGCAAAAACAGAGATTTTTAAGATGGCTGCTTAATTTCAAAATGGCGGCCATTTTTCGTAAAAATATGTAATCTTTGATAACTCAAATACCAGTGAATGGATTTGGTTCAAATTTTGTATGATGATGCTTAGGGACACAGTAGCTATGTTCGACAAAAGATTTTCAAGATGGCCGCTTAATTTCAAAATGGCGGCAATTTTTCGTAAAAAATGTAATCTTTGATAACTCAAATACCAGTGAACAGATTTGGTTGAAATTTTATATGATTATGCCTAAGGACACAGTAGCTCTGTTCAAGAAATAATTTTCAAGATGGCGGCTGAATCTCAAGATGGCGGCCAATTTTCGTAAAAAACGTAATCTTTGATAACTCATATACCAGTGAACGGATTTGGTTCAAATTTTATATGATGATGCCTAGTTCACAATGGTATAAACTAACTTTGTGCCAAATTTCATGCTTCTATCACAAAGTGCACAAACATTTCAACATTTACACTAGCTATAATAAGCATAATATGTTTTGTTCGGTGGGATTTGCTACTCCGTGGAGTTGCTGTTTTTCTAGTTTCATGATTGTGGTAGTGGCCTGCTTTTTATCATCACTCAAATCTATACATGGTACCAAGTTCTATGGTTGATTAACTTTTGGGTGGCTCTCTAGTTTTGTAAAAGCCTTTTGAGATGTTTTTGGATAAATCCTGTCCTATCCATTCGTTAATGGATTTTGGCTCAAATTCATTCTGTAGATATGTGAGATTGTTAGAAGGTACCAAGTTCTACAGATGATTGACTTTTGGGTCGATTCATGTTGGTGTGATTAAGTTCACACCAATTGAGTAAACTGCTTTTTATTGAACCTGATATATAGCCTTACATTGATGATAGATATGCAGTAGTTCTTGATACAGATGATGAGAAGTTTGGAGGACAACAAAGAGTGGACCATTCTGCAACGCATTTCTCGAAAGATGAACCTTGGGCCAATAGGAAAAACTCTATATATGTGAGTATAAGGCAGTGTGGGAATTTATATTATCAAGAATATGAAAAATTCATAGTAGTTTCTTTTAATCTTTATGAAGTTTAATGAACTTGTAAAACCTGTTTAAGTGGAACTCTATTGAAAAATATTGTTCCACTTATGGATGTGTTCCACTTACAAAGGTTTCCTTGTTACATGGTTTACTGTACTTTTACATCCAGTTTTATGCGAGTCTCCATGTACTCAACATGCATAATATGGTTACTTGAAGGAATTGATGGAAAATATTAATTGATTATGAATTGCACTGCCTATGTTCAAAGGAAACAAGTGCAACACAATTTGAAGCAATTCACCATCTAGTCTAATCCTTGTAAAGCATTTATATCAGCCTCTCTATATGTAGAATTGAATGTCATTAAAAATGTCATTAAAATCAAAATCATCAGATTCTGACACAAACCTTTTGCATTGTTGTGTTTTCAGGTATATGTACCTTGTAGGACAGCAATAGTGTTAGCTAAACAAGACTGAGGACTACTTTCCCTGCTTAGAATAGTACTGATAAGCTCAGCCCCCTGGCTAGCTGTTGCGCTAATACAAAATATCAATGAGATGGCTCTCTGAACAGGTGGAGATGGAGATCGTTATAACGTGTATTCTCAATTTCATTGGATGATTCACTTTTTATGACGTAAAATAGAAGAGCTCATTCATTTGACGTGCTGATGAGTTTGTAAGTGGACAGTAGTGAATCATTTATCAGTATTGATCTGTCAGTCTGTTCATCAGTACATGCAATAACATTTTTCTTCAAAATGGCAGCTACAGTACCTTAATAGTGAGATAGCAAAATACAAAATGGCTACCCAAACATGGGTTCTGTTTTGAAATATTGAAAATGAGAGTCTTTTTGGAAATAGTCCATAAAGATTAGTGTAAAATAGTGTGGGATTTGCCGCTCAGTGGAGTTGCCATATTTATCTAATATACATGAATGAAATACTGTGGCACAAATGTAGCTATGCTTTATGGACAGTGCATTATTCCGATATAATGCATTGAGAACCACTACTAATCATGTAGAGTTATATGTCATGCATTGTTGAGTGTTATTATATATGTATGAAAGCCTACATGTACATAATATGAACACAACTCAATTGTAATTTGGAAATCTATCCTGCCTGATATTTGCCAATATTAAAATGCTGGATCAGCAGTTTCTGCGTTTTAGTAAAAGAAGTGTGGAAAATATAAATCTTATTGTGCCATTATATCTTTCTCAATCAAGTTGCATTATTGGTTGCAAGAAATGAAATGTGATGGGTATCAGAATGTGAAAATCTGGTTTCATATACTGTAAATTTAAATAGCTATAAATGTTTAGACTATTGTTCTTGTGTTTAGACTTGTAGAAGTACGTCAATGTGGTTGACACAGCCTTTGTAAAAGGTATGAAGGGGTTACGTCATGTCATTACTAATTTGTGGTCTATTGCAACAAATAGATTATATATTATATAATATAAATATGTTTAAATATATACTCTCTAACCAGGTAGTCTGGCATGTTATTTACCCTTATTCTGAAATTATACATATTGAGATTTGTGCAGTGAAAGAGATGGTCTTCCATGAGAAGGCTTTCCAAAGGAACTATTTATGAAGTAATTGATTAGGTATTAAGACAACAGACCAAAATCTAATTTTCTCTAAAGAAAGGATATTATTGAAACTTTAAGCCAGTATTGTGTCATATAGCAGGGTTTAAACCCAAGTTTTCCAAGAATCTAGCTCACAATCATGAGGCAATGGTAGATATATCATTGTTTTTGTCTCTTCCTGTCCCACTTTCTTTGTAAACTGTATAATAGGAAGCTCCTTGTTCTTGAACAAAATATTACCAAACATAGAATTCAATTATTGTAAGTTTACAATTATATTGTGCAGAATGTATGTAAACTGCAGTCAAACTGCATAGTGTGCTGATGAATAAATATTATGTACATGCCATATTTCAAGGTTTCAAACTCTCTTGTTGTGCAGAATATAAGGCCTGGGGATTTGTTAAGTTGACATTATTCATTGGGTCCTTAACTCCTTAACTCTTCAGTGAAATGTTTTAATTTTCCAGTACTTGAAAATATGAGGAAATTGGCAAAAAGGGCCAAACATGTCAATCATGAAATATGATCATGCTGCAAGCTTTTCAGATCCCAACTCTCATTATCCCATCAAACGAAGTTCGGAGGGATAAAGGGAGCGCCTCCGTTCCATTTGTCCGTCCGTACGTCTGTCCGTCCGTTCGTCCGGGCAATAACTCAAATACCGCTGGCCCGAGTTTGTTCATATTTTGTACACATATACCCAATGGGGGTAGAAGTTCTGCTCGATTTTCAAAATGGCCGCTCAAAAAAAATGGCGGCCATTTTAGTGCCGATTTTACAGTAATTTAGGTACTGCATATAAAACTGTAATAACAATATGTTTTAAATGTAAAAAAGTTATATAAAGCATTGATTAAGCTAGAAATGTAAATATAGAAGAAATTCATGGCAGCCATCTTGAAAAATGGCTGCCTTTGCACGTCATTTTACGATTTTTGCTGTAACTTGAAAAGTAGTGGAGCGATTTTGTTCATATTTGGTATGTGAATACTTAAAGCATGGCACAATGTCTAATGACATTTTGGGTAGTAGGCGGCCATTTTGAAAAATGGGCGCCATTTTTACGTTTTTTACGATATCAGTAGGAAGATATAATTTCACGTATTAAAATCATATTTTCCAGCAATGACTTCAAATTCGGAACCACACCCATATCACATTTTCTTCAATAACTCCAAACATGTGTAAACATTGACCAGGTGCATGTAAATTCAGATTTCAAAAATCTGATATCTTTCGAAAAACAGTTAAGATCTGCACTTTTAACCCAAATCGTTTATGTAACTTAAGTGAGGAATTAAATCGACGATTCTGTTGTCTTCTGAGCTATTTTTTTCGCAAACATGAACATTTCTAAAACATACGATACTGATATACGTTTGTGAGAAAAAACGCCGTGAGGATTCTGCCTACAAAGCGTGAAATAAGGAAAAAAATCGTACCTTCGACATTCCGACATTTTGTTACCAAAACGAACCGTTTTGGTAACCAGCGTAATCGAGTGGATCACCAGTGAATTTATCAACGTTTACAATATTTTTGGGTGATCGTGAGGTCACTGTATAAACCAATGGGATTGGGAGCAATGGCCTGACCCCCGGTTATAAGCACTATCAGTATGCAGTTTACCCTTTGGATTCGTTCAACTTCGCTTCTTAAAAGAGAGCTTCGTTTATAACTAGACTCTGCGCGCAGGGTATATACATGCATATATATATTTGGGGCAAGCCCAAATCATCAGTCTACCTTTCTTCTCATAGAAAGTAAAGATCACGATCAACTGCATACCGACTGTGGTTATAACGCCTAATGTCAATGGATGCATTTTTAACTAAAAACATAGAACATCAAAAATTGAATATTTATCAATTATCATTGCACTAAGCAGTACGTTCATCACATCTTATCTGTATATTTAATATCGTAAAAAAAGTTACATGCCAGTTCGGATATTTCAGATGTTCCAATCGTCTAGTAGAATAATAACTGTAAGCTAGTTCCATACTTCAATATGGTAAATACCCACATACAGTTTTGGAAAATATTACCTATTTTATTAAATATTGTAATTGGAATCTTGAACATTAAAGAAAATGCATCATCCGGATATACTTTTAAAGTTATTCCAAAATTTAAAAATTCAGTGACCCAGTACGTAGTTTTCTCATCTTTTAGAAAAAAAGGATATTTATTCATGAGTAATTAATAATCTAGATATATTTATGCACTATTTGTGCGAAAGTGAAAGATGTAGAGCGCGTGTAAAATGAATTATACAAGTATGTACCTCAAAGTAACATGGACTCCAATAAGGAAGCCATTAAAATTTCTGGATATACTGAACTACCTTAAGTAGAAATTGCACTCAAGCGTTCAAGGTTATGTTTTACATTTATATGTACTGTATGATTATTCAAGCAGTGGCCTGCATGAATATCTGACACACAGCTGGTAGATTTTATACAACATAGAATAAAGAAGAGACGTTTGCTTCTTCATTTTTTTCATCCTAGATACAACTGAATATACATGTAATATGCACGAAATATCAATAACCAGGGACTTTAGAGCCGGAATACCATCACATTGGTTTTCTCGTACGAAACAGAATGTTTTCTAGTGCTGCAGTCGTATTTTTAGGTAAGTACAAGTTAAGGTGACATTTAAGTTAATCAAAAGTACAAAAACATGGGAGCCATATTTTTTTGATAAAGTCGGAAGATTTTGTATACTGTTTTCCTTGTATGTGAATGCATTTCCTGACTAAAGAGACACATAAAAGAAAACCTCACATTTAACGCATTTTTCATAACTATGAATTGGGAGGTGCATGGCTCCCCAAAGCTAGCATGAAGAGTGTGAAGTGAGGCTATTTTTGAAAGTTTCAAGGAGTAGCCTTGCAACAGTCACACATTTGCAAGAATTCAAAATTTCCCAATATAATCTTACCTTACCAAGGAACAACGAAGGAGCATGAAAGTGTGTACTTCTTGCATTGTTAGAGTATAATAAAGCTCAAACCATTGTGAATTCTAAATATTTCATGTCCACCATTTTGTTTCCTGGAACTATTTTTTAGTCCAGAGTTTTCCTCCTTCATGTATCCATTGTTTATCATTCATAAAGCCTCTATCATGTATCTATCATGATAATTATACTGTAATAGATAAATATACAAGTGATAATCCATGCCACTTGGTGTAGTCACAAAACTTTTATGAGGATTTATCATGTTTATCAGGAAGTCTAGAAGTAGTTCCGGCAAACAAAATGGTAGACATGAAATATATGAATTTACAATGGTTTGAGCTTTATTATACTCTAACAATGCAAGAAGTGCACATTTTCATGCTCCTTCGTTGTTCCTGGGAAAGGTAAGATGATTTGTAGAAATTTTAGACTCTTGCAAATGTGTGACTGTTGCAAGGCTACTCCTTGAAACTTTCAAAAATTAGCCTCACTTCGCACTCTTCATGCTAGCTTTGGGGATCCATGCACCTCCAATTCATAGTTTCGAAAAATGTGTTTATGTATGATGTTAACTTTGACATGTTTCATTAGTCAAGATATACAATTCATACACAAGGTAAACAGATTTTAATAACATGTGTCTTTATCAAAAAAATGTGGCAGTCATTTTTTGTACTTTTCATTTAATTTAGCTTCGCCTTAAGTTTTAAATGTTTGGAACTACTTTGAATTTAAAAAATAAGCAATCAAATAACTATATTGTAACATTATATGAAAAAATGGAAACATATGTATAAGTCCCAACGTTTGTACATTTCAGATAGTTACAGTGCTGATATATAATAATTAGGGGTGCGTTTTCAAACTAAACAGAGTGCTCCTACCAAAATAAATTTAAATGAATACCCCTGAGACTCTTATCTGATAGATAGAATGCACAAATAAAACAAAAGTTTTGCTATTATAGGTAAAAAGTTCTCTTCAAATTACGAAGTGATTTTACCTGTTAATTCTGTTCATGGTCCGCCATTTTTGCGGAAGTTACACTGAAACGCAAACTCCATGAAACGAAACGAAATCACTAGAAAAAACATGGCACACATTGTGCGCATGTGCAGCAAAGTTTTAACCAATCAGATTATTTGATTATTTTGCGCACATGAATTATTTGCTTCTGAGCACTTACAAGCTTACCACAATAAACAAACCTGGCAGAGACTACCCTGAGCCTACTTCATTTTGGCGAAATTTCAGCTCAAACTCGTGACAAATGAACTATGCATACGCTGGTGTGAAGCCTTGGAGACACTCATTTTGGTATATATGATTTATGGTGTATACTTTTCTGCAGTTTGTGTGAGTTTGGGACATTAAATGTTAAAATTCAAGAAAATATGGCAATAAAACGACTAATCAATTAATATATACCAGCACTGTAGTGCAGTAATTTGTAATTTATGGAGTTTCAGCCATGTAATTTTTTGTGTCATGATTGGGTATTCAATTGAATGGTTGTGATCTGCTGTTTACACTTATAATCCACCTTGAGTGGTCATCATTAGCAGCCTGATTAGGTACAGCTGGAAAATAACATTTTGGTAAAAAATGCTATACCTGCACATGTTATTTTCTGATACACTATAAAGTATGAAGGCATGTGTTAATTTCCTTGCTTTTTTCAGGAAAGTATCTTTACATTGTCTTCTTTTAGTATGTCTGGTGAGAGGTCAATGGGAACTCCAGGAAATCTGATATTTCACACTTTCTATTTTTCCAAATTTTCTGTCAAAGTTTCCAGACAACACAGGAGCTACCATTGATCTGTTTCCAGGTTTACTAAAAGTAGACAATGTAATGATACTTTCCTGAAAAAAACAAGGAAATTAATACATGCCTTCATATTTTATTTTGTACCTGAACAGGTATAGCAATCTTTGCCCAAAATGTTATTTTCCAGCTGTACCTTAAGATACACGTTTTAAAAAAACTTGTACGTGAACGTGTAGAATTATGAGTATAAAGGTATACGGAAAATAGTTGTAATTGCATGGTAATTGGATCCCTGGAAAATCAACTTGACTTGGGAGCGGGACAGTAATCCCCAGGCGTCGAAATATTACACGCTCATGTACAGGTTCTCTTAAAAACGTGTAACTTAACCTCCCTAATAACAGTGTCAAAAAAAACAAATCCCCACCTAATCCAAAATTGATTTAATTGCAGGGTTTTGACAATGTGATATACCATACTCTTCATTGAATGATGGCAGCTTGTAATTTCAATCAACTGCGATGTTTGCTTGCTACATCATTGCTCATCGGATGTCTGGCGAAGATATGGGCTGGAGCTTTATTCAATTTCAACGTGTATACTTTAGCCTTACGTGATACATTTAACTATACTCAGACTGATATCAACACAATGGCCATTCTGACAAATGTGGGTTTATCCTTTTGCCTGCCAGCTGGAATCCTACATGATAAATATGGGCCGAGATTGACAACTTTTCTTAGCTTAATATTAAGCTTCCTGGCATATATTTTAATTTGGAGTACAAGTAAGAACGTTGAATTTTACCGTCATAACGCATGGTTACTGAAACTGTATTACTTTTTCCTTGGTCAGGGAACAACGTTCATGTACATGTCATCATTCGTGACGAATATTAGCAACTTCGAAAGTAAATACCGGGGGAAGGTCGTTGGACTTCTTGATTCTTGTTTCGGTGGAAGTCCCACAATATTCGCCCTCGTCTACGCCACCTGCTTCGTAAATGGTCATATAACAGATGATGAAAATCAAAATTGGCCTGGATACATAGTGGTGTTGCTTGTTGGATCTACGATTACTTATTCCCTGTGTGTTTTACTACTCCGCGTGAGACCAGATGGTATTGATACCGAAAATGAAGCCAATGTTGAACTCCGAGCACCTGCTCAAAAACCGAATACAGAGGATACGGAACTTGTAGAAGCAGACGAACTTGGAAATCGATACGACGGAACAGATATAGTTTTTGATAATAACCAAGAAACAAAAACAGGGACAGGCATCGGTAACAGTTCAGAATCGGGAACTGTAGTTGGTCAACGTTCAGAAGAAATTGGATCATCCACACACTCGACGTTGTTCCAGAAGATAAAAGAGGAGTGGTACGATTTCAAAGGAACGCTTTTCAAAAGGGAGTACTTGTGTCTGCTGTTTGTGAAGTCATTTGTCACACCCATAGCTTTTGTTTACATCACAAATATAACTGCGATTCTTAAGGCTGCAAGACTTGAACAATACAGTGCGACAATGACTATCTTATTTCCATTTGTTGGAATTGGTGGTCGTATCATCATTGCTATCATCGCAGATTGTTTCCCAACTGTATTACATCGATCAATCATCTTACTAGTTACCAACATGGGTTTCGTTATCGCCCAAGCTCTGCTCATAGGTTTAGCCACCGATTTGACAATTCTTTTCATTACAACAATTTTAATATCAATTGCGATTTCATGTTCCTGGTCATTGCTTCCTGTTATTTTAAGTGATTTGTTCCCAATGCGGAATTTCGGACGAAATTGGGGAGCAATGTTATTTATGTCGTCAATCCTCAGTGCAGTGTTTTATCCGTTTTTATTCGGAGCTGTGTATGACGCCCATACCGAGGATGGTAGTCGAAACTGTTATGGCCTTTATTGCACACAGTTAACGTTCATTGTCACGTTCGCGTGTAGTTTAATTGGACTCTGCATTAATGTCGCACTGGTAATAATTCTTCGAAATAAACAGAACTGATTTGGCTTTTTGTGGTACATTTATTTATTTATGAATATCTCAATTTCAACAAAAGATGATGTGACATGTACCAACATTTTGGTTTTCGAATGGTTATAATTGTTCCTGAAAGAGTTGTGAGGGTGTTCGACATTTTGTGTATCATATCATACTTTGGGTCGATGGGGTTTCACATGGGTTTCATTTACTTAACAACATAATTCACTTTATTTTTCACAAGACTCATTAAAGACCATAAAAACTGATTTTCTTTTTGTATCGTCATTTATTATATTGAATTTACATTTTGTCATAATATAGTTTTTTACAATTTATATCTTTGCATTGTTGTTGTCAACAGAAGTTTATACATCCCTATACATAATACATCCTATAGCAAAAAGGGGAGACGCGCTACAATTAAGAAGAAGAACAAGTAACAAACGCGGGAATATATCAAATGTTAGGGGAAGGGGAATCTCGTGATTAAAATATCACCTCGAATAGTTAGGTCAGACAAATAGTATTGTTTCTGCTTATCGGTTGGATAGCAAAAATCCCAAGAAAAGTTGACCAGGGCGGATCCCTGCTATAGCAGTATATAGTCGAGAAACTGATGCATATACCGAAATCCTGACAATTTAACATAAAGGAGAAAAACCCGGTGGAATCAATACCTGAAAGTCTAGTGACTCCAAACAAGATCATTTTCCTGACCTGATAATAATCATATGATAGCTTGAAATAATTTTCCATTGTCGTAATACTACAAGCCATTGTCGATCAATGGGCGTCTCCCCTCTTTTTCTAGCCTCTAACTAATTATGCCAATATACGGCCAGCCATTCTGTCATATTTATTTTTGTTCGTTATTTACAATATTCATCTATATTTAAATTAGGCATCCATTATAAATAATGCCAGCGTTTAAAAGTTATGATAACCTCCAACATCATTCTTAAACACCTATCCACTTTCGGAGTTCTTTGATAAAAAGTTCTTCGACTTTTGTTTTCATTTAAATTTCGAATTTTCGCCATAATGCGTTCTGGATTCTCCTGTTTATAATACTATGTGAGTCGATTTACAATATTTTCTCTTGTTTGCTGGGTATCCTGTCGTAATATATAATACTGATTTTCTCAGACCAGCTGGACGTCAAAATCGCAGATAGATATTGGTATCGTCTAACCATTTTTGAAAACTGTTCCGTACGTAAATATGCAAAGGACATTTCAAAGAATCATTCGTCTAAAGAGGGAAATGGGCGAGGCTTATTTAGTCTGACTTTTCCTTTTAACTTCTACCTTTCTAAGACATCGGATCTAGAATGATCTACTGAGTTAAACTCAAAAAGTCATTAGTTGCTAGTCAGTGGTTAGAAAATGTTTCGCAACATATCGACCAATAGAGCTTACCAAAAATTTTAACAGAAAGTTTTTGCGTTAATGTCCTGTTTAAGAACCCATTTCTTACTATACAAAATGGATGCTACCAATACTTTCCCATATGGATCTACTTGCTGAGACTCGATCAACTTGAGTTTGTCTGAGATGATGAAGATTTCAGCAAGGGTGCATTGATTTAACATGGGGGATACACTCTTGCTGAAATCCTAATTTTCTCAGAATGAGTCTCAATACTAGTAGAATAGGGGCTCTTATCAAGAGAAAATAAAACCAGCATCTAAAACTGTTACAAATTCATCATGAACGATAAAATGAGTTTCTTGCATGATAAGGGCTTTCGTGTCATATTAGATATTAATAAAGTATATACTGAACGGTTTCAGGTTCAAATTGTAATCCTGCAACAAAGAGAGATATGACTCATTAGAGTGCTAGGGGACGTCAAAGACCCACTTGCTACACAATATACTTGTGGTACACAAGTACGAGCTTTAAGTTCTCCATGACTTGATTGATTGATGAGACCTATTCAGGGGAGGGTCTGTACCATTGATACGAAACGGTTTGTGCTCTTTCTAACACGTCTGTTTTGTTCTCTCAGCTGAACATAGTGCGTTCCCAGAAAATTCCTCAGATATAGTGGTTCCTATGCCAATTTGCCATTTGTTTAGTACCTGTTTTGAATTGATATATAATTTGTACGTGTAGTAGACTTCAGAGCTTACCCATGTTGATACAATATTCATTGTTTAAAGCTGTATTAAAATACTGCAACATTGAGATATTACGTTATGATGTGGTTAGCAGTAGGTCTACCGTCTGTTACAAGTACCTGAAAAGAAAGAAGAAACATGAATAATACAGTTGTTTGCTTATATCACTAAAACAAGTTACTTTTCAAAACATTTAACAGTATAAAAGTTTGATTGACTGTAAATATTTTAAAACTTGTAAATCTTGTGAATCGTGTAAAAATACAACCATATTATAGTTTTGAATTGCCATATATAAAATTACCCAATGAATAAGATTAATTGTGTATCAGAATGCTGGTACCAGGTCACCCTGTTAGCCCATCCAGACAGCGAAATATTACATCTGCCATTAGTTTCACATATTATATTCCGATTACATTGGACTAGGACTACAATATAAGCCAAAGTGTTTTAAACTTCATATGGGGCCTCTAAAATCTTCTCTTTTCAACTATCGACTGACTGGCGACGATTTGATTGCTAGTTTATTCATATTTGAATTAGTTGGCCATAAAATATCAATCAAATCGTCAGTCGTTGGTCGACAGGGTTGAATTCGCGAATGTTAGTCAAGTAAATAAGTACATAAATCATTAAAAAGATGGCGTATTGCAAACTAAAACAACACAACGCGAAATCTTGATTCTTATATTTTACTGACAGTGTGGAACTGTTGCTCACGCCAAAAGAGGGAGGGGGAGGATCAAGCAGTTTTTTTTGTTTTACAAATGTTTCACTTGTTTCGTTTGTAATTTTTCCTACTCTCGCTACCGTTTAGGCTACATCTAATGCTCGTTTACAACTCTTGAAACTGGATTTACTAGTATAGTATCCCGCGCCGACTAAAATTAGTAAATTGGGATTGAAATTGAATACATATAGTACAGGTAAGAATGGGCCTCACTTTTGCAACCTGGCGAACCATTTTTTTCCTTTTTTATTCATTGAAAAAACATAACCTGGCGAACCTCATGTTTTAATATAGAGTTCTTTGCTAAATTATGAGTTTAAGTAAAGGTAGTGATTCTACTTACAGACTTCGAGTCGTTCTTCAAGCATCGATATCTGTTCACTAAGAGACTGAAGGCGGTCCTTCACATTCGGCTCAGAATAGTAATCACCGTAGTCACCGTTAGCTTGCGCTGTAGTTTCTGAATTTTTCAATTTTTTCACTTCGTTTTCGAGACTTTTTTGTTTCGTTTCAAGCGATCGTTGAATCTTTATGGATGTTCGGTAGTCATCATTCATGACATCAAGTTTTGTTTCTAGTGTACCCTGGAACATAATTAAAATACAAGGCATTAACAGGACAAAATGTCACCACCTAGTTGCTCACAATATTATGAGTTCAATCTTATGTCAGATTTTAATTTCTGAGAACTTGTAGATGATTTTGAAAAAAATTGTCAATTTGAAGTAAGATTAAAATACCATTTTGACTTTGAGAAGGTCATTGAAGGTGAAATCTCCAAATCGAAAGTCAGATTTGAACTTCTGAGAACATATAGATGATTTTGAAGTAAGTTGAAGAAATACATTTTTACCTTGAGAAGGTCATTGAAGGTCAAATCATTTTTGACCTTGAGCAGGTCATTGAAGGTCAAATCTCAAATCTATAGTTAGATTTGAACTTTTGAGAATTTGTAGATGATTTTGAAAAAAATTGGTCAATTTGAAAAAATACCTTTTTGACCTTTTTTAAAGTTAGATTTGAACTGCTACGATCTTGGAGATGATTTTGAAAAATGGTCAATTTGAAGCAAGTTGAAAAAATACCTTTTTTGAACCTTTATACATTGAGGTCAAATCTTAAGTCAGATTTGAACATCTGACAACTTGTCGATGAGTTTGAAAAAAACTGAAGTCAATCTAAACAGTATTTGTTAAGTTATTGGAAATTGTAAGAATTTGTTACAGACCCCAACCGCCGATCGCCAACCGCCGATCACCAACCACCGCCACAAAAATGGATACCATAACAATATCACACTGGAATATCCCGACAACGGTAAAGTCAGATACCGTTGTCAAAAATGGCGGACATAACCGTCACGGCATATGGTAAGATGTGACAACGCACTATGGTTGATGTATTGCATCGGAACATAGGAAAATGACAACGGTAAATAGACACTTTACTGTTGTCTTTACATACAGTATACCGTTGTCAAATATTACTGTTGTCACCCCGATTTTACATCACATTTGACCCACACCTACCGTTGTCATGTATACAGAATCCGTTATCCGGTGTCATATTTCGATCGGAAAAATTAAAGCCTTTATTTCGATGGTGGAACACATTTAACTAAATGGTCAGTAGAAAAACACAGAGTGATTGCTGTACCAAAGGAATTTAAATCTAGTCGCTCTATTAAACATACAGTTCATGAAAAGCTAATTGAAGTGACGGTTATGTCCGCCATTTGTGACAACGGTATCTGACGTTTTGTCAGGGCTTTCCGGTGTGAATATGTCACAGCTTTTTGGTGGTGACATAATAATAGTACAATAATGTACACAATTGAACGTCACTACTAAACGTACGACACTGATATCTTCATAACATCATCCATCTTGTAAAACGTCATCGTCATGTATCATTAGAAACACGATTAAATATCACACGTCAAAGCTACATATATGAACGGTGATTTAGCTCCTGAGAAATCACATGTAATTTAAAACTTAATTCGGGTGATAAACGCCACGCATCTTCGATACGTGACATGCATCTTAAATGAGCTATGATAAATTTACGTCATCAACACGTCAGGGAGGATTGGCTCCCAGAGTGCAACATCGATATTCTGTCCCATATACAGTATATGGGCATGTCGTGATACAAAATTCGAATTCAAACAGCCGCCATTTTGTTCACTTCAATATTTGAATCGTGAATTTTGGTCTTATTTTCTAACGAAAATTCTAAACTTACAAGAAATGATCGAGATATTGGTTCGAATCTTTTGAACTGTTTATATTGAATTTATAGTCGGTTATAATTTCAGAAAATAATGACATTTCAACGTTTTCATTGTTGGAAAATATCGAGTTTCGATCCTGGGAGCCAATTAATCCTCCTTGCAACACATGGTTGTGTCATTATGTGATAGACTTTGTGCGTCTTATAATACCTTCTCTTCCTCCAGTTTCATTACTTTTTTCACGAGGTGTTTGTACCCATCAAGAAAATCTGCATATTCTGGCACATCTGATAATCGAACTACGGAAAAAAGCAACATTAAGGCAAAATTATTCTAAAGTTCAAACTGTGTTTAAGTATGCGTATTTTAACTTCATTATCCTTATCAAAAACACCACATGCGTATAAACAGTGAGATGACAAAAAGGGCAAAAACTGGAAAACACTTTTTTTTTCAAAGATGTTCTATATGCAAAGAGTATCTAAACGAATCTGATGAAATGTGACTACAAGACCTTGCGACCATCTCTACTTAACTACACACCTTCTCTGTTAGTGTGTGTGTGGGGCCACTGGGGGGGGGGAGAGAGGTCACAAGGGCTTGTAGCTAGACTACACTGTGACTTTAATTGAAAAGGAATTGGTTCACTTGTTTTTTTCATTGGGTTCGCAAATAACGTGCGTACTTTTGCATGTTTTCCTGTCCGGTTGGAGAGTATAACCATTCTGACAAGCGCATTTATAGCTCCCGGGGATATTGACACATTTTTGTTGGCAGCCATGTCGCAAATGGGCACACTCGTTCACATCTGAAACATCGTACAGTGTAAGCATGTATTATTTGTATTTTGAAATTAGGAATCCCCGGGGATATTGACACATGTTTGTTGGCAGCCATGTCGCAAATGGGCACACTCGTTCACATCTGAAACATCATACAGTGTAAGCATGTATTATTTGTATTTTGAAATTAGGAATCCCCGGGGATATTGACACATGTTTGTTGGCAGCCATGTCGCAAATGGGCACACTCGTTCACATCTGAAACATCGTACAGTGTAGGCATGTATTATTTGTATTTTAAAATGAGGGACGTTCTTTTCAGAAACGTGAACCTTCAATGACTCCACAATTTCATAATTACACCATTGGTCTATTTTGAGATATTAGAAAAGTAAAAGACACAAAATTAGATTTCAGGGATGTTTATTATCAATTCGAAAGTTTATTTCTTATCGTCAAAAATAGCCTAAACATGTGGCTTTAAAAAGGAACTCCATGTTATCACACCCTTTAAGGAGAGTGTATTATTGTGATATATTGTTGAATGTTATTTTGTTAGCCTTGTTTCAATAAATGGATCTAAAACTGACACAGAATATCAGCTTCAACTCCAACCCCACATCAATTAAACCAATTTATACTGGCACTTATGTATGATACACAAAACCATCTACCACTGTTTATTTGACATACGAGCAGTTGAGGTCAAATAAGAATGCTCGTGTTTATAGTTTGAGATACAGAAATTACATCTAGAAGAAACAAAATCAAAATAAATGTGTTTTACCAAAATTACAATGTTTTAGTTGTGCCTGGTTTCTTAAAATTGTGTTTACGTCTCATGAAATCACTTAGCGATCATTTGGTTTAAATTGGACACCCGAGAAAATATATAGTAAACAAAACTAGCCGTTGTTTAACTGGACATACCTTTGACCATATATGTAAAGTTTGTGGTATAACTCAACCTGTTAAAATAATTCGACTAATTGAGTGACTGTCCCATTTAATGATGCTGGGAACTAAATGAGCCAGGCCACAGGAAAAGGGGTCTTATCACAGATTTTTTCAATATTTTGATTTTTTGTTTATCTTGATCATGAAAAGCACAAAGAGACCTTTCAAATAAGCCATTGCTTATGTCTTAACACTTTTTTCTTGCATATATAGACCAAAAAGTCGGATTTGAATTTAGTATATTTTGCTCTTAATCTTGGGCACCTTTTTGGCTCTGTAGCACAATTTTAATTTTTGTGATAAGACCGGTTTTCCTATGGCCGGGCTCAAATGCGAAATTCTCTCTCACTGGAAATAAGGACAGGTGATTTTGAATTTTTCAAAACGACGATTTTTCACGACTCTGTATTTTAACTATATATTTCAGAAAAATATCAAACTAAATAGAAAATAAAATCGAAAAAGATATTAACTATAGAGTACTAATCAACATTTTTCTCATTAAGGTGGACCCAGTGGGATATATTTCGAACCCATATGTGCATGACGTCAGTGGCCTACCTTAATTGAATGTGACTGTACTGAAACTAGATAATAATAAACCAATTCCCATTAAAACGGCCCGTCCTATATAGTAGTCAGAATATTGGACTCGTTTACTTTTTGCATTTTATCAAAATACATGTCTGCACATCTCATGCCGAAGTGAGATTACTGATTCTTCTCGAGTCACCTTAACAAGATCGGGTGATCGGGATCACCATTAAAGGGAATGAGCGCAAGTTCAGTGTCAAAAATTATCGTCATTCAAACAATCAACAGGAATTCTTTATGGCGGTATCATTTACATGCAGGATCTTGGTGTTATTATATTAACCCATTTACTCACATTGATTGTGTTTTCTTAATAAAACCTACGTTAGTTTGGATTGAGTAAGGTTGCAGCGTTCGCTCATATTCTGATTATCAAATTAAATTGCATTTACGAATTCTCGACCGATTACGAAATCTAAATTATTACTGAGTTTTTTAAGTTATTCATTTTTTGAGATTATTTAAGGGAGAATTGTTTAGTATCATAATGTAAGGGTAACTATGGCAACAGCTTAAACCTGTTAGCAAGTAATTAAGATTTGATTTAGAAAGGTTTCATATAGTTCATAATATCCACTTGCGGTAATTGGGGCATGTTTGTAATAGTGAATGAAACACAACCATTTTTTGGTGGTGCTACATTTTCTTATAAATAACTAAAATATTTAGGTGTAGATACAGTCCAAAATTAATGAGTCAAAATCCAAGGTCTATTGGCCTGTATTCAAGAATAAATCCCTTGGAATTAGGTGAAACACCAACCTGGCATATAATTATGACTGTAAAAGTTATAGACCGCGTCGTAATCCATGATATAGCTACTACTCACAGGTACAGTCCATCTCCATTCGGTATAATCAAAAGAGCTACTAATGAGCGTCTTATCATGTCATGTTACGTTAATTGGAGAGCCCCAAATATATGTCTTTAAGTGGACCTTTTAAATCACAAGAGAGATTAAGGATTTGTAGATGTTTTACTATTTTTTAGAATTCTAGGTTAATCAATGAAAACTCGTCCATCTTTTAGAATGGACATTTCATTCATACACAACATAAGATATTTCATATGACGTCATCATGAGAGATCAGAAAAAACTCGACCAAAAATTGAAGCCAAATTACACCCTCGTGTTGGTCATGTGATAAATACAAATGGGAACTCAATGAGACGGTTTCAGATATGTATAACTGATCTGGTGACCTATTTCGATTAAAATTGTTAACATTTGTGCGGAGAATGAATGTTTTTAAAAGAGAAATATTTACGAAATAAGAAAAATTGACGTGACAATCTCAAGTTGGAAAAAGTAAGATATATTATTTTCGGTACATAAATTCGAGATAGTTGACATAAGTAATAAATTAGGCCCGACAACAATTCTTATGATTTATATCCCTGACATTGGAAATTGAATACGGAGCCAAGATAAGAGCCTGGAACTGTGGAAAGATTTCTTTATATTTGTAATTAATTAATCAACGTTTGAAATCCCCCGATTAATCCTGACAGACTAATTCTTAGGTACAATTCCCATATATGTTCTGGAGTAGCAATAAAAGTGTTCCATTGTACACTGTACCCTGAACCCCCCCTAATGGCACCCATAAGTCTAAAATGGATTGTGTATTCAAGAATGTGCTCGAATTCTAATTCGGATATTTATGAAAAATTGACGAATTGTAGGATTATTATTAACAAATGCCAAACATAAAAGACTTGGTCTGAAATGGGACTAACGATGTGTATACATTCTATAATTTCATGAGGATCGGGTTCCAAATAGAAAGCAAACAAGGTATTTTGTGGCAAAGTCTATCAAATCTCTGAATCTTTATCTTTATACTTTGCTCCGATACACCCAAGTAAAGCTTTTGATCCGTTGAGAGCTGACTCAAAACCTTACCCCGTTCACACGCAGGGCCCGTCCAGCCCTTCCTACACCTACACGTATCAGGCTTGAGGCAATCACCATGGTTACTGCAATTCGATCTGCATATAGCTGAAATATCGATTAGTTTTTGATTTATTTCATTTCAGTTGTGGTTGAAAAATATTGAAGTTTTGTACGTTGTAAGAAGGGCTACACCAAAACGCAATATCAAATGAAGAGTGTTGCCATTATCTTTAAAAAAGTACATAGGTTTTCACCATTTCAACTTACGTTGCATGCATGAACTCTCTCCCGCGTGCCGTTGCGTCCAACCAATGCAGCACACCTTGACCGTCTCTGTTCTCTGCTCATTAGAATACCCCTCTCTGTATGCTGTCGTGTACACAACCCTGGCAAGTAGTTACATAGTAGATGGAGGATACAGTAAATCCATTAAAGGATAACACTTTTGGAGCCCAGTATAGTAAGACTGTCCAAGTATAGGGTGTTCATCTTTGAGAAATGAATTGAGAGTCAACAGGAAAGTATAAAAAAGGACAAGGCCAGTTTTAAAGTTAAATAAGGTGTTAATGTAAGAGCAATAGGTTCAAATTAAGGGGTTTTGCCGTATGTTCAAATGTGTACAGTACAAGTGAAGGAGGGGGGGGGGGTATACATGTATGGCATAGCCTATTACCTATATGTATAATACTATGATGATACAGATGATGAACAGACGACAAAATGCGAAGATGAATGATAAACAATGACGATAAAGAATGATGAACAACAAATGGCCCACAATGATGAACTACGACAAAATATGGAAAAATAAGAAAGCTATGGTGCTCGATACGATGAATATAAACTACTTCTAGATGACATTGAAAACAATTTAAACGCGATGCGAGTCGACCAATATAAAATGCAGATGATGCTATGATGAATGAAAGACGATCAATTATTTGAATTGTAAAAATAAAAACAGAGACAACTTTATTTCCGTGTTGTTTACTATAAATGGGAACGGAAATGACCGACGACTTTAGAAAGTGTGTTCCTTAATAAACACTTAACCCAGTGTTAACCCTGCATCGGGTCTAATAAATTAAAACGATTATTCAGATGGATCTGCCAGTGCAGTATGTACCAGTTTCATATCAACATCTACACGAGTAAGGATATTCTATTTATTTAAATTTTAAGTTCCATGAAGAAGTATTTTCAACTGAACTGAAAAACTGAATTATAAAGAAAAGCAACTTGATGCAGCAACATTGGACACCCTGTATAGACTCACCTGAACGAGGTGCACAGTCTGTTACCCTCACACAGTCGCACGTGTTTTTTGTATATTGGTTTGCAGTATGTGACCATCTGTTTCCTTGGAGTGCTTATTACTCTGTTCTGTACGCATACATGTCGTCTGAAATGCACACAATGAATTTTGCAATTGCTATTAATTCCCGAACTCGTCCAATAAGTTTTTGGAAAAAATCGAACGTGCTCTTCTGACACGTTTTCCTCAATAAGCTGATGAAAGGTTGATGTAATGAAGTCAAATATTAACCCAGGAAAGGAGGGGGCGCATACACCCCTACCACAGTGACACGATGGTTCTTCCCGAACGCAAGGATGAACTTCATGTCATATGGAGGCTCACAAGCAGTTTGTCTAAGTGATTCATGCGCATTAATTTCTGACTCACCATAGCTTCCACCTGGTATAATGAATTCTGTGTGAACCGTGAAGCGTTGAGTTAATTACTTATGTAACTTCTAAGAGTATTATCAACTTGAAAAACGAGCCTTCACAAAAAACAAAAAGAACAACACCAGTTTGGATCTAGGCACTTAGAATCTAATCTTTCGTTTGCCTCTTATTCTTACATCTGATTCATTGCGTAAACCTATATCGTGGCCCGAGAGCTCCTTGAGATTTCGGAATATTTCGTATCAGATCAAACGAAATGCATATACACCGTAATACACGGGGAAACATCAATGTTGACACCTCACTCTACATTTTAACAAGAAACGGTTACACAAGGGCGTCATATTGTTATTGTATGTTTACGTTGTTTGAAAAAATCAGAATAACTAATGCTTGCAATGATACACGTTCCATCAAGGGGATTTCTTCACTTCTGGGTAACATGATTGTTGTATCGGGAACGTCTCACAAAAATCACGTCCCACTATCGTTGAAGAATTATCAAATTATGTAAGAACCCATTAAGTATTTAGTGACATACAGGCCGTCCAACTCTCCCCCAATTTACGTATTTGTCACGCATTTGCTGATGGAATTGAAGTCACGACAGATTTTTTATTGTCAAGCAAAAATATATCAGGAAGAAAACATCAAAAAACGAACGCCTTAGAGTTCGTTCGGAATTTTCACGCGAATTGCTTCGAATTTTCTTGTTTCTTGTAGCTAGCTTGTATCTGCTTCTGATAGTAAAACTGTCAAAATGTTGCTCTATGACAAAAATATTGTAACAAAGCATTAACATGCAAAATATTACCACTTGCCATTTGTTACAGACGCCAATCGCAAAAACAGCCGCCCACCGAACGCCAAACGCCGAACACCGTCCACAAAAAGTTGGAGACTTTTATGTCAACACTTGTGTTGGTGACATAGAAACGTGCCAAATATGAACCCCCCACCATGAGGATCACACTCTTTTAATAGTCAATTAATAAATTCAGAGTTACAAAATTACAAGATTTTCTGGAGCAAATATCTCATATAGATAGTTTATTGCAGTTATATCGGCTACTTTGCACATTGTTGAACATAAAAGAAGCTTCAAAGAGCAGATTGAAGTATCGCCCACAATACTACAGCAAACTTTTCACGTGAGTAGTAAAGAAATATAGGATTCCAGACCACTTAGAGGTTTATTTCGTTAAGTGTACAAGCAATTTTTTTCATTTCATTTCATTTATTTATTTTCAAACATCTGGTGAAACATACAGATAAGGCGGATGACACCCTAATGGGCATATTATCCGCACAGAGAAGATGAACATGACAAGCAGTGTTGTGTAAATTATGTATCTCCAGCCTCGCACTCCCCACCTCCATCACCCCACCCTTAAATGTTAAGAGGAGAATAACCCCATGATTCAGAGATGGCATACGTCTATAATGTAAATCTATATTGAGAAGACATCATCGCTGGTTGGTCATATCGACAGACAATTCAATGTCGGTTTCAATATTTTCAAAAGACTCTTTGAACGATGATATGTTGATTTCTAAGTATTAATCAATATCATTGCTCGTTATTTCACATCGACAAAGAAAGATGTTAGGAAGATGCTAACATCAATTAAAACATCACAGCGTTGTGTTATATTGGAAGACTAGCCGGTGATAATTCGAACAAAAGAAGGTGGTAAGCAAGAGACGTAATTATGTCAGTCATCTCTAAAGCTCCGGGGTTTCCCCTCCTCTAATATTAAAAACTGGTAATCAAAAACAAACTAAAACAAATATAACGTACAAATCAAATTGTATTACTGACTTATTGAATATAATTTTAACCAAGCACCAAACTAGGCAGGAGTCGCCTGCATATAATAATAAATAGGCAGAAAGCACGAATACCAGGCAGTGGTCGCCTGCATATTACAAATAGGCAGAAAGCACCAAACCGGACAGGAGTCACCTGCATACTAAAAATAGGCAGAAAGCATCAAACCAGGCAGAAGTCGTCTGTATATTATAAATAGGCAGAAAGCACCAATAGCAGGCAGTAGTCGCCTGCATATTATAAATAGGCATAAAGCACCAAACCTGACAGGAGTCACCTGCATACTATGAATAAGCAGAAAGCATCAAACCAGGCAGAAGTCGAATGTATATTATAAATAGGCAGAAAGCACCAAATCAGGCAGAAGTCGTCTGTATATTATAAATAGGCAGAGAGCACCAAACCAGGCAGTAGTCGCCTGAATATTATAAATAGGCAGAAAGCATCAAACCAGGCAGTGGTCGCCTGCATATTATAAATAGGCAGAAAGCACCAAACCGGACAGAAGTCGTATGTATATTATAAATAGGCAGAAAGCACCAAATCAGGCAGAAGTCGTCTGTATATTGTAAATAGGCAGAGAGCACAAAATCAGGCAGTAGTCGATAAATAGGCATAAAGCACCAAACCAGGCAGTAGTCGCCTGTATATTATAAATAGGCAGAATTTACCAAATCAGGCAGGATCTAGAAGTCACCTGTATTATAAACATAATAAACAGATAGAAATGACCAAACCATGCAGGAAACATTAAAGTAATCGTGGAAAAAGTGCCCAAGTAGTGTAACTTGGGATATCATCAAAAAAGAGAATTAAGTGAAGCAAACATATATAAAATATGGCAAATTAGGTAACTGACACGAACGTGTTTCGGTGTGGTTAAACCGCGAGGCAATTAAACTGCTATTTATCTGTGTTTTATCAGGGTGAGATTTGTAAATTACGTTATTCTGTGTAGACATAAGCAATGCACCTGTAGTAGCAGTTAAGACAAAACATATGGGACAAATGTTTAACTGATTTAAAACCATTCTACTGTCTTTACTGTCCTTTCTAGTCTGACACCTTTAGTTCGAATCTTAATATTTTCTGTTGGATTTCGTGAGAGTAGTAAAACGATGCATATCAATTATTTTAAACTAATACAGTTTGCTGTCAATAAGATATAGTTTCTACAAAAAAGCTGAAAAATGAAATGAAACCAGTGCTGCCATCTTTTATTCCGATTTTTCTCGGGCCAGACTTCATTGACTTCCATATTAAGATCTTCGAAAAGGGACTTTATCAAAAAGTGTTGGTTGAATCTGTTTAAAACTTGATTGATATATCATGTGATGACCCTTTTAACATACTTATTGTGATTTATCATGAACATTTGGGTTGCAAAACTAATAAACCAAGTTTTTTGAGAATTTAAACATTGCATCAATGGAGATTTGGCGCAAGTTTTGTTAAAAAGTCATGGAAAATGATATAAATAACAGAACAGTATTAATCAAAGTTATTATTGTAGAAAACAGTTAACTGGATTCAAATTTGCCATTTAAAAGAAGGCAAAGTAAGTCATTAGAGGACTATTGTGCAAATCTCTTAAAATCTCACGAAAAACGAGATTTAGTGAGATTTCAAAAGCTTTATCGAAACTGTACTATTGTGTTCAGTGCCTTTATATGCGTGAACATCGTTAGTTTAATAGCAATTTGCAGGTAGATTTAAATAACACAAGTGCTTTTAGAAATAGATCCAAACTGATTCAATATTTTACACCATGGAATTAATCATTTTCTGAATGAATACGTAGTCTTATATAAAATAACAGATTGCATCAAGTTCGTCCTGTTCAAACTATGGTCCTGGGACTATGGTGCCTCTTTAATTGATGAAAACCACGTAATACTGGATATACCATCGAACTAAATTGTTCTAAGGGTGTTTAGAAACATGAAAATGAGTGTAGTGGGTGAGTGTGCCACATTTACCCACGTCTAAAATATTATGATTAAATCAAGGCAAACTTATGCATTATATACCCTCAAACTATACAACTAAATACTTAACGAAACCAACTGGATAAACTAGACTAAACATTTAAGATCGTGTGGTTCGTATTGAGAATTTTCTAGAAATGACACATAGCCTATTACTCTTGAAACGGACCAACGCCAAGCAATGATTGAATCTAAACTGTTCTGGGAAGTCAAATAAACTGTAACAAATGGTTATATTTCGCCATTATAAATATATATGAATATGTTGATAGGTTTTTGAATTTATAATTTTACAGAAATAAAATCAACATTGTTGCCGGGCAATTTTAGAAGCATTATTGGACCTCAGTATTCACAAAGGATACTCATATATATCAGCGTATGATAAAAAAACACTCAGCTACTACTCAATTATTAGCCCATGGGCAATATTTGAAACACAAAATACAAGTGATCTTTAATTGCTTCCTCAATTGAAGCATATCCTCTTTATATTCATTCTCCAAATCAGAGACCTGACTCCACAGACAACTGCGTCTGTTGGTGGCTCTCGGAAGTTAGATACAATAGCTTGATTTGGAGAATGGCTTATCTGGTCTTCCCCGTCTTCGCAGTCATAAAGGTTATGTGAGAACCCCTAAGGAAATATTTCAATGTTATGATCATGATAACTACGAAAAACTGTGATAAGTAACCACTTAACGGCGAGCAATGCCAGGAGCCTAGTCTATGTAACATGGAACAGTTATAAAGAATCCATTATCTATTCTTCGTGGGATATCATACAGGTTCTCAGGGATATGAAGTTTATTCATCACATTTAGTTATCACACTCTCAAAGATCGTTTCCGACAGTGCGCAGACATTTTCATTAAAGGGTTGCCATCGTTCAAA